ACCAAGCGAGCTACGGTCAAGTGGGGCACCTTGTTGAACTTGGAACGGCCTAGAGACTACAGTGATGCCATTCATTTGCCTTTCAGTGTTTATTTCAGCCTGTCTGTTTGTTGAATTCAGCCTGTTCATTTGTTGATGGTAAAGTTCATACTTCCCGTTTAGGATATGAAGGTGACCCTGAACACGTGGCAAATTGCATAAACAGAATCAGAGTTAGAGCATAACCTGTAAACCAATGTTATCCTAAGGGAACAACTCGGATGGATCAAACTGAACAAACCGCCGCACGCAGCTAGAATAACTCTGTTGCTTGTCCACACCAACCTCCCCCCAATGACCCAGTCGAAAACGGTGTGTCTCTGTGTGACACAGAGGCCGCAATATGTCAAAATCATGTTGAAATCACTACTAGTCAGGCTTCATTCCAGGCCTTCTTATTTGCACAGTGGCTGCGGTCGGACCGAGCGAGCTATGGTCAAGTGGGGCACCTCGTTGAACTCAGAACGGCCTAGAGACGATAATGGTTCCTCTCCCTTGCTCGTTGGTGTTGATTTCAGCCTGTCCATTTGGTGATGGTAAATCCCTGTTTAAACATATTGGAAATGGACACACTTTGTCCAACTATCACATATGTCAGAGCCGGCCCAAAATTCATAGCGCCTTCTGTTAAAACCATAAAAAACCTAAACCTTGTGATTCTGGGACTTTTCTAAATGTCATCATTTTCATGATGTTAAAAATGAATTGAATATATTGCAAATGGACGAGGCTGTTTCTCGGCCGGAGAACCTCCTAGAGCCACATAACTCACTGTGCAGTACCGACTTAAGCTATAGAACAGGTTTATAAAGTTTCAGAGCTCTAGGTCTGACGGTTCTTTGATGGTTCGAACGCAGGTATCTATTGCAGGCTCCTTGCGTCTGTAAGCCACACACTCTGTCACTCCATCTTGGCTGTGTGTGTGAGTTTTTCTCTGAGGTCTGATGGGCAGTGTGAGCACTTGTCAGGCTAGAGCATGTCTCTATCGGTGCTGTCTCTGTGTCCTGGGCTTAAGGGGTGGTTCTTTGGGTCTCAAAATAATACTTGAAGAACACAGGGCTGTGTGAGTCTGTCCAATTGCAATATGAAATATTGGCACTGGCAATATATTATATGGCAAATGGACACTGTCCATTTGCAATATGAAAATGCACCTAACTTATTGAAGATGGACAAACTTCATACAGAAAATCACAGAAAATCACAGAAATCCCTTAGAGCTCCGAAACTTGCCTTAACGGATTCGCCTTAAAACGCCTCAACTGGATCTATAACGTTTGTCTACAGAAAAAAAAAAGTTTAGCATCACGAAGATGATGTTGTCCGATTTCTCGTAAACTACGATAGATAAATTGCTGGTTCTATTTTTCCTTACACCGTAGGTTTATGTACTTTGACGTGCAGCGGTCAAATTAGCGCTGTATTACAGTTTTCAGCCTTTAATCCCAGAAAATGTGCATTAACTCAAAGAGCGGTGTGGCTTCGATGCCATCTTGTTTCCAGGCTAAAAGTACATCTGGCCGCCCCTCTGCTCACTGAGTTTCGTCTTTGAAATCTGTTCCGTTTACGAGAAACGGCAATGTCCATTTGGTGATGAAATGTCCATTTGCCATATACTGCGGTTCGCCACCCTGTGGAATTGTCCGGTACAGCAAAAATAATAATAAATAAAAAAGAGTGTCCTGGAAACTTTCTTTCATGACTTCCCGGAAGAACGGGCCTTGGCACTCGACCCGAGGCCGTTGGCCTATTTTTAGCACATCCGCGGACGTTTAGTAAGGGGCCATCCATTTGCCATATGAAATGTCTCATCGATCATACGGCCAATGCCGTTTGCGTCCCTTCGGTAGGCAAGCCTAAATTAGTTCAAGAGTAAAATTTGGCTTAACAAATCACATAAGTTACATGGACTCACTCTGTGTGAAATAATAGGGGTTGACATTAATTTTTTATGACTAACCCTTCCTCTGTCCCCCATACATACAACATATGTATGGTCCCTCAGTCAAGCATTGAATTCTAAGCACAGATTCAACTGCAAAGACCAGGTTGCTTTTCGAAAACGCTCTCTTTAAGTATGGCCAAGTTAATAATTATGCTGTGGTTTATACACTGAGGTGTTTCTAACATGTATTGACTCAGGGAGCTGAATAGTTATACAACGACTATATTTTAGTTATTTAATTTCTATTAACATTACAGTATTTTGTGTAGATTGTTGACAAAAAATGACAAATACATTTTAATCCCACTTTGTAACACAATAAAATGTGAAGAAATTCAAGGGGTCTGAATACTTTTGCAAGGCACTGTACATGACCAGAGAGAGAGAGAAATATAAGGCCTAGCTAGCTTTATGGCTATCTCTCTGGCCTGGCTGAGATCTTAACTTAGGGCTACTGCGCATGTGCTGGCGCACAGAAAGATGATTTCTGAAAACTTGTAGAATGGCATCAGCTACTACTCAAGTAACACAGATATAAACATATTTCAGCGGTAGCATGCATATAATATAAACATATTGCAGCAGGGGCATGCAAGTAATACAAAGCATTTCTAATACATACTAATGAATTGGCTAGTCGCACTCAATAAACACACTTAGCAATAAATAACAATACTAGACGAAATAGTATGCATAGGCTACATACTACAGTGAGGGAAAAAAGTATTTCATCCCCTGCTGATTTTGTACGTTTGCCCACTGACAAAGACATGATCAGTCTATAATTTTAATGGTAGGTATATTTGAACAGTGAGAGACAGAATAACAACAAAAAAATCCAGAAAAACGCATGTTAAAAATGTTAAAAATTGATTTGCATTTTAATGAGGGAAATAAGTATTTGACACCTCTGCAAAACATTACTTAGTACTTGGTGGCAAAACCCTTGTTGACAATCACAGAAGTCAGACGTTTCTTGTAGTTGGCCACCAGGTTTGCACACATCTCAGGAGGGATTTTGTCCCACTCCTCTTTGCAGATTTTCTCCAAGTCATTCAGGTTTCGAGCCTGACGTTTGGCAACTCGAACCTTCAGCTCCCTCCACAGATTTTCTATGGGATTAAGGTCTGGAGACTGGCTAGGCCACTCAAGGACCTTAATGTGCTTCTTCTTGAGCCACTCCTTTGTTGCCTTGGCCGTGTGTTTTGGGTCATTGTCATGCTGGAATACCCATCCACGACCCATTTTCAATGCCCTGGCTGAGGGAAGGAGGTTCTCACCCAAGATTTGACGGTACATGGCCCCGTCCATCGTCCCTTTGATGCGGTGAAGTTGTCCTGTCCCCTTAGCAGAAAAACATCCACAAAGCATAATGTTTCCACCTTCATGTTTGACAGTGGGGATGGTGTTCTTGGGGTCATAGGCAGCATTCCTCCTCCTCCAAACACGGCGAGTTGAGTTGATGCCAAAGAGCTCGATTTTGGTCTCATCTGACCACAACACTTTCACCCAGTTCTCCTCTGAATCATTCAGATTTTCATTGGCAAACTTCAGACGGGCCTGTATATGTGCTTTCTTGAGCAGGGGGACCTTGCGGGCGCTGCAGGATTTCAGTCCTTCATGGCGTAGTGTGTTACCAATTGTTTTCTTGGTGACTATGGTCCCAGCTGCCTTGAGATCATTGACAAGATCCTCCTGTGTAGTTATGGGCTGATTCCTCACCGTTCTCATGATCATTGCAACTCCACGAGGTGAGATCTTTCATGGAGCCCCAGACCGAGGGAGATTGACAGTTATTTTGTGTTTCTTCCATTTGCGAATAATCGCACCAACTGTTGTCACCTTCTCACCAAGCTGCTTGGCGATGGTCTTGTAGCCCATTCCAGCCTTGTGTAGGTCTACAATCTTGTCCCTGACATCCTCGGAGAGCTCTTTGGTCTTGGCCATGGTGGAGAGTTTGGAATCTGATTGATTGATTGCTTCTATGGACAGGTGTCTTTTATACAGGTAACAAGCAGAGATTAGGAGCACTCCCTTTAAGAGTGTGCTCCTAATCTCAGCTCGTTACCTGTATAAAAGACACCTGGGAGCCAGAAATCTTTCTGATTGAGAGGGGGTCAAATACTTATTTCCCTCATTAAAATGCAAATCAATTTATAACATTTTTGACATGCGTTTTTCTGGATTTTTGTTGTTGTTATTCTGTCTCTCACTGTTCAAATAAACCTACCATTAAAATTATAAACTGATAATTTCTTTGTCAGTGGGCAAACGTACAAAATCAGCAGGGGATCAAATACTTTTTTTCCTCACTGTACAAATAAACTAGAACTAGCATTAACCCGAGACAAAGCAAACAACACTGCAACTTCTTACTTGCAAATGTATCTACACAGTTACAGTACACTGCACAATAAGGTACCCATAACTTACTACTATTGCACCCCCTATTAGCACAACAACATCCCCAACACTCACTTGTCAATGGACACTTCAGCTAGGAAACAGCATGTCCAAAGGTCCTCTGCAACACAAAACTTGCTTCTTCTCAGCATGGTAGATGCCGCGCACTAACCTGAAGTGATAGGAGGCGGAGCCCTAGAGTGCATCCAAGCGCCCTGATTGGTTGGGATGAATAAGTGATATATAGGTCTGAAGGCCAGTCAGATTGAGAGGGCCGCCTTTTTTACACAGATGCATGTTTGTTTTACTACCTTTGTGGGGACCAAACAATTGATTCCCATTGAAAATCGTATTTTCCCTAAGCCTAACCTAACTTTAACCCCAATTCTTACCCTAACCCTAATTGTAACACTAACCCCTAAGCCTAACATAGTCTTTTTCCTTGTGGGGACTGGCGAAATGTCCCCACTTGTCTGAATTTCCCTTGTTTTACTATCCTTGTGAGGACTTCTGGTCCCCACAAGGATAGTAAAACAAAAAACACACACACACACACCTTATTTTTACAGTATATGACTGACCCATTCACACACACTCACTGGAAGGGGACGAGGATACACAGGCCATTGGCGCAGGCGAACTCGTTCATGTGGCAGGTGCGGTTGGGGCAGTTTTGAAGCTCATCAGCCGCGTCGGCACAGTCCTTCTCCCCATCACACACATAGCTCAGGGGGATACAGTGCGGGTGACCAGGGCGCCATGGAGGGGGGCAGGTGAACTGATGAGAAGCGCATGTCCTCTCTCCTGAAATGGGAGAGGTAAGTAAAGAGGCACAAACAATATTTTGCAAGAGTTGAAACAAGCCCCAAATGAGACATCTGCACCATTGCCCATAGAAACTGCAAGTCAGTGAAGCAAAACACATGGCTCTCTTTGCTAAAACGTATTTTTACACTTTAAGAATATTTCAAGTGTGTTTATGCACTGTGAAGCATCTCTGAAGCATACACAATTGTTACAAAAGGATTGCTTTTGTTTCCTGCCTCCGTGACATAATTCTGGTGTCGCACCCCCATTATAAGTTCATGGACTAATAGCGTCACGCATATCGCATATGTGTTGTTTGTGTTGTGTAGTTTCTGAGTTACAGAGCCTTCGGAAAGTATTCAGACCTTTTCCACATTTTGTTACGTTACAGCCTTATTCTAAAATGGATTAAATAAATAATAATCCCCAGTAATATACACACAATACCCCATAATGACAAAGCGAAAACAGGTTTTTAAGATTTTTTGCTAATTTATAAAAAAATCTAAACAGAAATACCTTATTTACATAAGTATTCAGACCATTTGTAAATGGAAGAAGTTTGGAACCCCCAAGACTCTTTCTAGAGCTGGCCGCCTGGCCAAACTGCGCAATCGGGGGAGTCAGGGAGGTGACCAAGAACCCGATGGTCACTCTGACAGAGCTCTAGAGTTTCTCTGTGGAGATGGGAGAACCTTCCAGAAGGACAATCATCTCTGCAGCACTCCACCAATCAGGCCTTTATGGTAGAGTGGCCAGACGGAAGTTACTCCTCAGTAAAAGGCACATGACAGCCCGCTTGGAGTTTGCCAAAAGGCACCTAAAGAGAAACAAGATTCTCTGGTCTGATGAAACCAAGATTGAACTCATTGGCCTGAATGCCAAGTGTCACGTCTGGAGGAAACCTGGCACCATCCCTGGGGATGTTTTTCAGCGGCAGGGACTGGGAGACTAGTCAGGATCAAGGCAAAGATGAACGGAGCAAAGTACAGAGAGATCCTTGATGAAAACCTGCTGCAAATCTCAGGACCTCAGACTGGGGCAAAGGTTCACCTTCCAACAGGACAATGTCCCTAAGCACACAGCCAAGACAACGCAGGAGTGGCTTCTGGACAAGTCTCTGAATGTCCTTGAGTGGCCCAGCCAGAGCCCGGACTTAAACCTGATCGAACATCTCTGGAGAGACCTGAAAATAGCTGTGCAGCGACGCTTCCCATCCAACCTGACAGAGCTTGAGAGGATCTGCAGAGAAGAATGGGAGAAACTCCCCAAATACAGGTGTGCCAAGCTTGTAGCGTCCTTCCCAAGAAGACTCGAGGCTGTAATCGCTGCCAAAGGTGCTTCAACAGTACTGAGTAAAGGGTCTGAATACTTATGTAAATTTAAAACATTCAAAAAACCTGTTTTTGCTTTGTCATTATGGGGTGTTGTATGTAGATTGATGAGGGGGAAAAACCAAGGCTGTAATCTAACAAAATGTGGAAAAAGTAAAGGGGTCTGAATACCTTCCGAAGGCACTGTATACTGTAATGTCTCACCACATTGGAGTTCCAGTGCCTCGTCACTATTGTCCCAACAGTCGTTGTTGCCGTCACATGTCAGTGACATGGGGATACAGTTGCCGTTGGTGCATGTGAACTGGTCAGGGTGACAGGTGTTTATTTGGTCCTCTGGAGGAAAGAGAAAGAGGGGGACAATTTAAATACAGAGTACTGTATGTTATTTTCACTGCCCATGATCTGGCAACAGGTATAGTTTTCACTACATTGTGGAATGTTCAGATAGAAATATGTTATGTAAAACTAATATGCCTCTCTGTCTTGTAGAATAAGGAATATGAATTACATTACTATTTGCAACATTCCACAAAATGTGCCTTCTGAACGTGGCCCGTGGGTATGATCTTTCTTGCATTTGGTGCCTGAACATGGCCCAGGTTCGGTAGTACTCACGGCAGGAGGGGGGCTCGTCGGTCCCGTCGCCACAGTCGCTGATCCAGTCACACACCCAGTAGCTGGGGATGCACTTCCCCTCGTCACAACGAAACTGGTCCGGGGAGCACGTCCGGCCCGCTGTAACACACACACACACACACGCACATATGCCCAAACACACACACGGCACAGTATATAGTGAACAGACTGTGGAGAGTGACGTAAAACTGAAAAAAACATACAGTGAGGAAAAAAAGTATTTGATCCCCTGCTGATTTTGTACGTTTGCCCACTGACAAAGAAATGATCAGTCTATAATTTGAATGGTAGGTTTATTTGAACAGTGAGAGACAGAATAACAACAAAAAAATCCAGAAGAACGCATGTCAAAAATGTTATAAATTGATTTGCATTTTAATGAGGGAAATAAGTATTTGACCCCTCTGCAAAACATGACTTAGTACTTGGTGGCAAAACCCTTGTTGACAATCACAGATGTCAGACGTTTCTTGTAGTTGGCCAGCAGGTTTGCACAAATCTCAGGAGGGATTTTGTTCCACTCCTCTTTGCAGATCTTCTCCAAGTCATTAAGGTTTCCAGGCTAACGCTTGGCAACTCAAACCTTCAGCTCCCTCCACAGATTTTCTATGGGATTAAGGTCTGGAGACTGGCTAGGCCACACCAGGACCTTCATGTGCTTCTTCTTGAGCCACACCTTTGTTGCCTTGGCCGTGTGTTTTGGGTCATTGTCATGCTGGAATACCCATCCACGACCCATTTTCAATGCCCTGGCTGAGGGAAGGAGGTTCTCACCCAAGATTTGACGGTACATGGCCCCGTCCATCGCCCCTTTGATGCGGTGAAGTTGTCCTGTCCCCTTAGCAGAAAAACACCCCCAAAGCATAATGTTTCCACCTCCATGTTTGAAGGTGGGGATGGTGTTCTTGGGGTCATAGGCAGCATTCCTCCTCCTCCAAACACAGCGAGTTGAGTTGATGCCAAAGAGCTCGATTTTGGTCTCATCTGATCTCAACACTTTCACCCAGTTCTCCTCTGAATCATTCAGATGTTCATTGGCAAACTTCAGACGGCCCTGTATATGTGCTTTCATGAGCAGGGGGACCTTGCGGGCGCTGCAGGATTTCAGTCCTTCACGGCGTAATGTGTTACCAATTGTTTTCTTGGTGACTATGGTCCCTATGGCTGCCTTGAGATCATTGACAAGATCCTCCCGTGTAGTTCTGGGCTGATTCCTCACCATTCTCATGATCATTGCAACTCCACGAGGTGAGATCTTGCATGGAGCCCCAGGCCGAGGGAGATTGACAGGTCTTTTGTGTTTCTTCCATTTGCGAATAATCGCACCAACTGTTGCCACCTTCTCACCAAGCTGCTTGGCGATGGTCTTGTAGCCCATTCCAGCCTTGTGTAGGTCTACAATCTTGTCCCTGACATCCTTGGAGAGCTCTTTGGTCTTGGCCATGGTGGAGAGTTTGGAATCTGATTGATTGATTGCTTCTGTGGACAGGTGTCTTTTATACAGGTAACAAACTGAGATTAGGAGCACTCCCTTTAAGAGTGTGCTCCTAATCTCAGCTCGGTACCTGCATAAAAGACACCTGGGAGCTAGAAATCTTTCTGATTGAGAGGGGGTCAAATACTTATTTCCCTCATTAAAATGCAAATAAATTTATAACATTTTTGACATACATTTTTCTGGATTATTTTGTTGTTATTCTGTCTCTCACTGTTCAAATAAACTTACCATTAAAATTATAGACTGATCATTTATTTGTCAGTGGGCAAACGTACAAAATCAGCAGGGGATCAAATACTTTTTTCCCTCACTGTACTGTACATATGCAAACAAGTCAGGGATAAAAATATTAATATCTTGTCCAAAACCACAGCAGGTACAGACATGATATACACTGAGTGTACAAAACATTAGGAACACCTTCTTAATATTGAGTTGCACCCCCTTTTGCCCTCAGAACAGCCTAAATTCAGAACAGCCTAAATTCTGGGCATGGACTCTACAAGGTGTCGAAAGCGTTCCAAAGGGATGCCGGCCCATGTTGACTCCAATGCTTCCCACAGTTGTGTCAAGTTGGCTGGATGTCCTTTGGGTGGCGGACCATTCTTGATACACACGGGAAACTGTTGAGCGTGGAAAACCCAGCAGCGTTACAGCTCTTCACACACTCAAACCAGTGCACCTTGCACCTACTACCATACCCTGTTCAAAGGCACTTAAATATTTTGTCTTGCCCATTTACCCTCTGAATGGCACACATACACAATCCATGTCTCAATTGTCTCAAGGCTTAAAAGTCCTTATTTAATAATATATTAATATAATAATATTATCTCATCTCCTTCATCTACACATATTGAAGTGGATTTAACAAGTAACATCAATAAGGGATCATAGCTTTCACCTGGATTCACCTGGTCAGTATATGTCATGGAAAGAGCATGCACACTCAGTGTATAAAACAAAACACACATCATAGCTAGACTTACCACAGAACAAAGGGTTCTCGTCACTGTTGTCCCCGCAGTTGTTATAACCGTCGCACAGTTGGCTAGCGTAGATACAGATGTTGGTGCTGTCACACTTGGTTTGTCCAGAGGGACACGTTCTGGGCGCTGCAGGGACAGAGTAAAGTAGAAAAGGTTTCAGAGGGTTAAAGGTAGATTCAACGATATGACGTTACAATAAGTAGTGGGGTAACTTCTGACATAAGCAAAGAGAGTTCAAATAAAGAGGTGAAGTTTTACTTGTTGTCACACAGCTATTATGTTGCAGGACAGAGTTAACTCCTATGCACATGCGCAGATGCTTAGCAGTATCTGTGGACTAGTGCAGTCTCTTTTTTGGCACTCTCTTGCTAATATCTTTGTTTCCACTTAAATCAACTCTATTCACAGCAGTGATCACTCACGACAGTTGATCTCGTCTGAGGTGCCGTTATCACGGCAGTCATTGTAGCCGTCGCAGACGAAGGCGGCGGAGATGCAGCGTCCGTTGGCGCAAGTGAACTCGGTGGCGGGGGCACAGGTGGGGAACGGGCAGCCCAGCTCGTCACTGTTGTCGCCGCAGTCGTTCGTGTAGTCGCACACGTAGGACAGGGGCACACAGCGGCCGTTGTCACAGGTGAAGTCTTGGGCCGAGCACTCGTGGAAGGCTGAGAGGGGAAGTAAGAGAGGGTGTGAGCACATCTGGTTGCTCTCGAAGTTTCTTCCTTGCCATTGTGTTTTTGCTTGGTCTTTGGGGTCTATACCAGGTTACTGTAAAGCAATTTCTGAAAATTGATCTAAACAGAGCTTTATAAATACATTTGATTGATTGGTTGATTGATTGATTGACTGAGTGATTGAGCAAGTGTGGAAATCTATGGGGGATCTATGGGGGAAACACCAATAATGATGGAGTCTTTTTGACAATGTTGCTAGGTGCAGGGAAATGACAGTACAGGGAGCACTTGAGCTATAAAACATTTGACTTGACTGCTGAGTTTGAAAGATTCAAAACTTAAGAGCATTTGGCTTTGCTGTTGCTGGGTCTTGACTAAAATGGCGGCCGTTGCAAAAAACTGACTGAGGTAAATACACTCACCGCACACTCTCTCTAGCTCGTCTGAGTTGTCCTGGCAGTCACTGTAGCCATCACACTTCGAACGCACTGAGATGCAGCCACCGTTCAGACAGGTGAACTGCTCGGGTTGGCAACGGTTACCGTTGTCATGGATACAGTCCATGCCATTGTTGGCCAGATACCAGTTACCCGTTGCAGGACACTGACACTCTGGACCAGACGGACCTATAGGAGGAGAGATACGTTATCACAGTTAGGGGTGATAGACTGACACTCAGGACCAGAGGGACCTATAGGCAGAGGGATACATCATCAGGGTCAGGGGTGATAGACATTGGCATGATGGACATTGGTAGATGTTGGTTTAGTTGCTCAATATTATTGTGAGTAAGTGTGTGACTACCCACTGGGAACAAACTGGTTGATTAAACTTTGTTTCAATTTAATTTGTCAACTTATTTTGACGTGGAATCTACATGGAAAATACATTGGATTTGAAAGAGGTAATCAATGTACACTTGTTTTGAGGGTAACATTTAAACCACAGGATTATGTCATCATGGCAACCAAATTTCAACATAGACAAACCTTGAATTTGTTGAATTTGTAGCTCTAAAACAACATCAGATCTTCAATGTTATATCCACTATCCAGTGGTGTAAATACTTAAGTAAAAATACTTTAAAGTACTACTTAAGTAGTTTTTTGGGGTATCTGTACTTCACTTTACTATTTATATTTTTGACAACTTTTACTTTTAATAATAATATGCCATTTAGCAGACGCTTTTATCCAAAGCGACTTACAGTCACGTGTGCATACATTTTTACGTATGGGTGGTCCCGGGGATCGAACCCACTACCCTGGCGTTACAAGCGCCATGCTCTACCAATTGAGCTACAGAGGACCACTACATTTTTTTTACTCCATTACATTCCTAAAGAAAATAATGTACTTTTTACTCCATACATTTTCCCTGACACCCAAAGTACTCGTTACATTTTGAATGCTTAACAGGACAGGAAAATGGTTAAATTCACACACTTATCAAGAGAACATCCCTGCTCATCCCTACTGCCTCTGATTTGGCGGACTCACAAAACACAAATGCTTCATTTGTAAATTAAGTCTGAGTGTTGGAGTGTGCCCCTGACTATCCGTAAATAAAAAAAAACTAGAAAATCGTGCCGTCTGGTTTGCCTAATATAAGGAATTTGAAATGATTTATACATTTACTTTTGATACTTAAGTATATTTAAAATCAAATACTTTTATACTTTTACTCAAGTAGTATTTTACTGGGTGACTTTAACTTTTACTTGAGTCATTTTCTATTTAGGTATCTTTACTTCTACTCAAGTATGGCAATAATTGGGTACTCTTTCCACCACTGCCACTATATATTTCTTTTTTTAAACAGGCTGGGCAGTACCTCTTACTGGAGAATTGATCTATGTACAGCTACCCTTTTGTCTCCCATCCAGAGTTTTAACCCTGCTTAGCTATGATATTTGTCACTGACTATTACTAATGTGCTATCGTGAGAATGATTGTTGAGTAATCTCCACTTAAGAACTAAATAGATTTACTGCTATCGAGTTGCTATCGAAGGGTAGGTTTAAATGAGCATATAAAATGTAACCATACTTTATCACTCAAATATCATCAATGATGCTATTTAGGACTATATACCATTTGCAAAGTCATGAAGAGCTATTGTTTCAATTCAACCCAGGATTCAACAATACATAGGCAATACATAGGCATAGGGTTTGAAGCTCATTTAAAATGTAATGATATTTAGTGATATTGAATTGTGTTTGGTTGTCAACGCAACCAAAAATCAACATTTGAAGGAGATTTACAGGTAACTGACAAAATAAAGGAAACACCAACATAAAGTTTCTTAATAGGGCGTTGGGCCACCACGATCCGCCAGAACAGCTTCAATGCGCCTTGGCATAAAGTGCATTCGGAAAGTATTCAGACCCCTTGATTTTCTCCACATTTTGTTATGTTATTCTAAAATCGTTTTTTAGGGGTCTGAATATTTATGTAAATGTCATATCTACACACAATACCCCATAATGACAAAGTGAAAACAAGTTTTTAGAAATGTTAGAAAATGTATTAAAAAAAATAAAAAACAGACCCTTTGCTATGAGACTCGAAATTGAGCTCCTGTTTCCATTGATCATCCTTGAGATGTTTCCACAAATTGATTGGAGTCCACCTGTGGTAAATTAAATTGTTTGGAAAGGCACAAACCCGTCTATATAAGGTCCCACAGTTGACAGTGCATGTCAGAGCAAAAACCAAGCCATGAGGTCGAAGGAATTGTCCGTAGAGCTCAGAGACAGGATTGTGTCGAGGCACAGATCTGGGGAAGGGTACGAAAACATTTGAAGGTCCCCAAGAACAGCATTGAAGGTCCCCAAGAACACAGTGGCCTCCATCATTCTTAAATGGAAGATGTTTGGAACCACCAAGACTCTTCCTAGAGACGGAAGCCACTCCTCAGTAAAAGGCACATGACAGGCCGCTTGGAGTTTGCCAAAAGGCAGGTAAAGGACTCTCAGACCATGATAAATAAGATTCTCTGGTCTGATGAAACCAAGATTGAACTCTTTGGCCTGAATGCCAAGCGTCACGTCTGGAAGAATCCTGGCACCATCCCTATGGTGAAGTATGGTGGTGGCAGCATCATGCTGTGGGGATGTTTTTCAGCGGCAGGGACTGGGAGACTAGTCAGGATTGAGGAAAAGATTAACGGAACAAAGTACAGAGAGATTCTTGATGAAAACCTTCTCCAGAGCGCTCAGGACCTCAGACTGGGGTGAAGGTTCACCTTCCAACAGGACAAAGACCCTAAGCACACAGCCAAGACAACGCAGGAGTGGCTTCGGGACAAGTCTCTGAATGTCCTTGAGGGGCCCAGCCAGAGCCCGGACTTGAACCCCATCGAACATCTCTGGAGAGACCTGAAAATAGCAGTGCAGCAACAATCTCCATCCAACCTGACAGAGCTTGAGAAGATCTGCAGAGAAGAATGGGAGAAACTCCCCAAATACAGGTGTGCCAAGCTTGTAGCGTCATACCCAAGAAGACTCGAGGCTATAATCGCTGCCAAAGGTGCTTCAACAAAGTACTGAGTAAAGCGTCTGAATATTTATGTAAATGTAATATTCAGCAAGAATGGCGCCGGAGGAGATGGCTGCCGTTTTACGGCCACCTAACCAATTGTGCTATTATGTGTGTTTTTTCATGTTATTTGTAATGTATTCTGTACATAATGTTTCTGCCACCGTCTCTTATGACCAAAAAGAGATTCTGGATATCAGCACAGCAATTACTCACCTCGTATTGGACAAAGATTTTTTCTTCAACAAGTCGGACGCGAAGGATATACTGACAAGGCCCAAATCCCCGTCATTCGCATGAGAAAGAGACAGAGATATCGTGGACGTAGGTCGGGGTGCCTAGTAAGGATCCGACGGCGAGCGAGTAATCTGCCTCTTCCATCAGTCCTATTAGCCAACGTACAATCATTGGGGAAAAAAATGGATGACCTACAATCACGGATATCCTACCAATGAGACATTAACAATGGTTATATCTTATGTCGTGGCTGAACAACTACATGGATAACATACATCGGCAGGGTAGAACGGCTGACTCCGGTAAGACAAGGGGTGGCGGTCTGTGTATATTTGTAAACAACAGCTGGTGCACAAAATCTAATATTAAGGAAGTCTCTATGTTTTGCTCGCCTGAGGTAGAGTATCTCATGATAAGCTGTAGACCACACTATTTACCAAGAGTTTTCATCTATATATTTTTCGTAGCTGTCTATTTATCACCACAAACAGGCTGCTGGCACAAAGAATGCAATCAATGAGCTGTATAAGGCCATAAGCAAACAGGAAAACGGTCATCCAGAGGCAGCGCTTCTAGTGGCTGGGGACTTTAATGCAGGGAAACTTAAATCCATTCTACCTAATTTCTACCAGCATGTTAAATGTGCAACCATAGGAAAAAAAACTCCAGACCACCTTTACTCAACACATACAGAAGCGTACAAAGCTCTCCCTCGCCCTCCATTTGGCAAATCTGACCATAATTATATCCTCCTGATTCCTGCTTATAAGCAAAAACTAAAACAGGAAGCACCAGTGACTTGGTTAATTGGGAAGTGGTCAGATGACGCAGATGCTAAGCTACAGGACTGTTTTGCTAGCACAGACTGGAATATGTTCCGGGATTCTTCCGATGGCATTGAGGAGCACACCACATCAGTCACTGGCTTCATCAATAAGTGCATCGATGACGTCGTCCCCACAGTGACCGTACGTACATACCCCAACCAGAAGCCATGGATTTCAGGCAACATCCGCACTGAACTAAAGGGTAGAGCTGCCGCTTTCAAGGAGCGGGACTCTAACCCAGACGCTTATAAGAAATCCCGCTATGCCCTACGACGAACCATCAAACAGGCAAAGAGTTAAAACAGAACTAAGATTGAATCGTACTACACCGGCTCCGATGCTGGTCGGATGTGGCAGGGCTTGCAAACTATTAAAGACTACAAAGGGAAGCACAGCCGCGAGCTGCCCTGTGACAAGCCTACCAGACAAGCTAAATCACTTCTATGCTCGCTTTGAGGCAAGCAACTCTGAAGCATACATGAGAGCATCAGCTGTTCCGGATGACTATGTGATCACGCTGTCCGTAGCCGATGTGAGTAAGACTTTTGAGCAGGTCAACATTCACAAGGCTGCAGGGCCAGACGGATTATCAGGACGCGTACTCCGAGCATGCGCTGACCAACTGGCAAGTGTCTTCACTGACACTTTCAACATGTCCCTGACTGAGTCTGTAATACCAACATGTTTCAAGCAGACCACCATAGTCCCTGTGCCCAAGAACACTAAGATAACCTGCCTAAATGACTACCGACCCGTAGCACTCACGTCTGTAGCCATGAAGTGCTTTGAAAGGCTGGTTATGGCTCACATAAACACCATTATCCCAAAAACCCTACACCACTCCAATTTGCATACCGCCCCAACAGATCCACAGATAATGCAATCTCTATTGCACTCCACACCGCCCTTTCCCACCTGGACAAGAGGAACACCTACGTGAGAATGCTATTCATTGACTACAGCTCAGCGTTCAACACCATAGTGCCCTCAAAGCTCATCACTAAGCTAAGGACCCTGGGACTAAACACCTCCCTCTGCAACTGTATCCGGGACTTCCTGACGGGCCGCCCCCAGGTGGTAAGGGTAGGTAACAACACATCTGCCACGTTGATCCTCAACACGGGGGCGTGCTCAGTCCCTTCCTGTACTCCCTGTTCACCCATGACTGCATTGCCAGGCACGACTCCAACACCATCATTAAGTTTGCCGACGACACAACAGTGTGACAGCCTATAGGGAGGAGGTCAGAGACCTGACTGTGTGGTGCCAGGATAACAACCTCTCCCTCAACGTGATCAAGACAAAGGAGATACATCTGTTGTATTCGGCGCATGTGGCAAATAAAATGTGATTTGATTTGATTTGAAATATCAATATTTGAAGATTTATCTTCTGCTTGGATAGTTCCATATGTGCCATTGTCTGGCTTTAATTCCAGTTTGTTTTCAAATTAATAATTGATATGTTGGATTCACGTCTCCATCTCAACCAAAAATCTAGTTAAAGAATATGACTAAATCAAATCAAACTTTATTTAAACTGCATTTAAAGTTTGATTTGATTTAGTCCAATTCTTAAACTTAGATTTTTGGTTGAGATGGAAATTGTCCAGGTAGCCATGATTAGCTGTTCAGGAGTGGCTTGGGGGTAGAAGCTGTTGTGCCTTGCGGTCGGAGGCCGAGCAGTTGCCATACCAGGCGGTGATGCAACAAGTCAGGATGCTCTCGATGGTGCAGCTGTATAACTTTTTGAGGATCTGAGGACCCATGCCAAATGTTTTCAGTCTCCTGAGGGGGAATAGGCTTTGTTGTGCCCTCTTCACGACTGTCTCGGTGTGTTTGGACCATGATAGTTTGTTGGTGATGTGGACACCAAGGAACTTGAAGCTCTCAACCTGTTCCACTACAGCCCCGTCGATGAGAATGGGGGCGTGCTCAGTCCTCTTTTTTTTCCTGTAGTCCACAATCATCTCCTTTGACTTGGTCACGTTGAGGGAGAGGTTGTTATCCTGGCACCACACGGCCAGGTCTCTGACCTCCTCCCTATAGGCTGTCTCATCGTTGTCGGTGATCAGGCCTACCACTGTTGTGTCGTCGGCAACTTAATGAAGGTGTTGGAGTCGTGCCTGGCCATGCAGTCATGGGTGAACAGGGAGTACAGGAGGGGACTGAGCACGCACCCCTGAGGGGCCCCCGTGTTGAGGATCAGCGTGGCAGATATGTTGTTACCTACCCTTACCACCTGGGGGCGGCCCGTCAGGAAGTCCAGGATCCAGCTGCAGAGGGAGGTGTTTAGTCCCAGGATCCTTAGCTTAGTGATGAGCTTTGAGGGCACTATGATGTTGAACGCTGAGCTGTAGTCAATGAATAGCATTAACAACCAAACACAATTCAATATCACTTTTGAAGTATAATAGCCTATAAACTTGTCAACAAGTTAACAAATGATATGTTGGATTCTCGTCTCCAATTTAACCAAAAATAAAAGTTAAAGAATGGGATTAAGCCAGTTGCTCAGATGTAACTATTCAAGCAGTAGATACATATCCTTTAAATGTTGATATTTGGTTGCGTTGTAATACCATAAATAGCCTAAAGTTAAGGCTATCTAACGTAACATTCATCCTTCAAATGGCCACATTTTGAGGTTACTGTAACTATAAATGTCTTCTTATGTAATTACATTTACATTTTAGTCATTTAGCAGACGCTCTTATCCAGAGCGACTTACAGTTAGTGAGTGCATACATTTTCCATTCTGGCCCCCCGTGGGAATCGAACCCACAACACTGGCATTGCAAGCGCCATGCTCTACCAACTGAGCCACAGGAGGCCTTAATATTTCATCATATAAAGCATGCGCATGTTCAAGATAGCATGCATAGGTCACATGCTTCATAGACAACAGTGAAATGCTTACTTACGGGTCCTTTTCCAACAATGCAGAGTTAAAGATAATAAAAAATAAATATACAAAATTGACACATTGAATAACTAATAAAAATAACAAGTAAAAATACTGGCTATGCAGTATATAGGGAGTAGAAAATAACATGGCTATAAAAAGGGTTACCAGTACCGAGTCGATGTGCAGGGGCACGAGGTAATTGAGGTAGCTATGTACTGTACATATAGGTAGGGGTAAAGTTACTAGCAGCAGCGTAGGTGGTGAGTGAGTGTGTGGCGTCAGTATACATGTGTGTGCATTTTATGTATGTGTGGGTGTAGGTAGTATGTGTGTGTTTGTGTGGGTGTGTGTGTGTTTGTGGGTAGAGTCCAGTGTGTGCATAGAGTCAGAGCAAGAGAAGGGTACAAAGGGTAAAAGCAGGTAGTCCGGGTAGCCATTTGATTAGCTATTTATCAATCTTGTTTAGAAGTCATATGGCTTGGGGGTAGAACCTGTTCAGGGTCCTGTTGGTTCCAGACTTGGTGCATTGATACCGCTTGCAATGCGGTAGCAGAGAGAACAGTCTGTGGTTTAGGTGCCTGGAGTCTTTGACAATTGTTTGTACCTTCCTCTGACACCGCCTGGTATAGAGGTCCTGGATGATATACTGGGCCGTACGCATTACCCTCTTCCTGAGGGGGAAGAGGCGTTGTTGTGACCTCTTCACGACTTTGTTGGTGTGTTTGGACCATGATTCTTAATGATGTGGACACAGAGGAACTTGAAGCTTTCGACCCACTCCACTACAGCCCCGTCGATGTGAATGGGAGCGTGCTCGGCCTTCCGTTTCCTGTAGTCCATGATCAGATCCTCTGTCTTACTGATGTTGAAAGAAGAGGTTGTAGTCCTGGCACCACACTGCCAGGTCTCTGTCCTCCTCCCTAGGGGTTGTCTCATCGTCGTCGGTGATCAGGCCTACCAACATTGTGTTGTCAGCAAACTTAATGATGGTGTTGGAGTCATGCAGGGCCAATCAGTCGTGGGTGAACAGGGAGTACAGAAGGGGACTAAGCACGCACCCCTGAGGGGCTCCTATGTTGAGGGTCAGCATGGCGGCTGTGTTGTTGCCTACCCTCACCACCTGGGGGCGGCCCGTCAGGAATTCCAGGATCCAGTTGCAGAGTGAGGTGTTCAGTCCCAGGGACCTTAGCTTAGTGATGAACTTCGAGGGCACTGTGGTGTTGAACGCTGAGTTGTAGTCAATGAACAGCATTCTCACATAGGTGTTCCTTTTGTCCAAGTGGGAAAGGGCAGTGTGGCCTGCAATTGAGATTGCGTAATCTGTGGATCTGTTGGGGCGGTAGGTGAATTGGAGTGGGTCCAGGTCGTCGCAGGTCTGTGAAGATCTTCACAATTGCTGTAATAAACTGTGCAGAATCTCGAACGGCATTGATCACTTGCACCATGTACTTTTAATGTAATCTAAACTGCAATCCAGGTCATTTGATTCTGCTATTAGTTGAAGCACAGTGATAGCACATTAAACAAAATATCTGACATTGTATTCCCATTTGAACTTTGCTGTACTTTTAAATGGTTGAAAGCGCAGTGATAGACATTTGGGTGACAATTAAACCAAAAATCAGACATTGGTTTTCCATTGGAATTTGGTTGTGCTTTTAGATGGCCTCTCCTATCATTGCTACGCAGACGACACACAACTAATCTTCTCCTTTCCCCCTTCTGATAACCAGGTGGCGAATCGCATCTCTGCATGTCTGGCAGACATATCAGTGTAGATGACGGATCACCACCTCAAGCTGAACCTTAGCAAGACAGAGCTGCTCTTCCTCCCGGGGAAGGACTGCCCGTTCCATGATCTCGCCATCACGGTTGACAACTCCGTTGTGTCCTCCTCCCAGAGTGCGAAGAGCCTTGGCGTGACCCTGGACAACACCCTGTCGTTCTCCGCTAACATCAAGGCGGTGACCTGATCCTGTAGGTTCATGCTCTACAACATTCGGAGTACGACCCTGCCTTACACAGGAAGCGGCACAGGTCCTAATCCAGGCACTTGTCATCTCCCGTCTGGATTACTGCAACTCGCTGTTGGCTGGGCTTCCTGCCTGTGCCATTAAACCCCTACAACTCATCCAGAATGCCGCAGCCCGTCTGGTGTTCAACCTTCCCAAGTTCTCTCACGTCACCCCGCTCCTCCACACACTCCACTGGCTTCCAGTTGAAGCTCGCATCTACTACAAGACCATGGTGCTTGCCTACGGAGCTGTGAGGGGAACGGCACCTCCGTACCTTCAGGCTCTGATCAGTCCCTACACCCAAACGAGGGCATTGCGTTCATCCACCTCTGGCCTGCAGCCTACCTCTGCGGAAGCACAGTTCCCGCTCAGCCCAGTCAAAACTGTTCGCTGCTCTGGCACCCCAATGGTGGAACAAGCTCCCTCACGACGCCAGGACAGCGGAGTCACTCACCACCTCTTTAAGGAATACCTGGGATAGGATAAAGTAATCCTTCTACCCCCCCTTACCCCAGCCCAAAAAAATAATAAAAATAAATAAATAAATACATATTGTAAAGTGGTTATCCCACTGGCTATAAGGTGAATGCACCAATTTGTAAGTCGCTCTGGATAAGAGCGTCTGCTAAATGACGTAAATGTAATGTAAATGTAGATGGTTGAAAGCATAGTGATTGGAAATGTATATAACTTTTGGCTGTCCTTTTGAGTGGGTAAATATAGGTTGTAATCTCATTGATCAACGTCTCAACCAAATACTGTATTACCAAATTATACATGTTGAAATAACGTGGTGTGCCCAGTGGGTATTGTTGTTCTCAGACTTGAACCTGAATCATTAATTAATGTCAATGGGAGACGAGAAATTTGAGTTTAGCATGTGGATCTCAAGCCCTGTAAGAACTCCAAGACACTAAAAGCAAATGTTTTGTTATTCAAACTCCTGACCTGGCACGCAGACGTGACTACACCCTCCGTTATACTGCTGACAGGGGCTTGAGCAAGCCTCCTGCTTGGAGCCTGCGTAAACATGGATGTCGTTGGGCCTGTACTGTAGTTCCTGGGCCAGGACCGTTAACCCTGACCCGTCGTCCTTCCCGGCACGGTAGACCGCTCGCGTGGTCCAGTCGGTCCAGTATATGTCCTGCTGGAATACGGTCATAGCGTAGGGGTACTGGACCCCCCTCATGATCACCTGGCGGCTCTCCCCGGTCAGGGTGGAACGCTCAATCTTATCTCTGATGGTGAGAAGGAGGGAGGTGGAGATGGAGAAAAACAATTGATGATTGAGTCGGTGGATGAATGCATAGATGGATGGATATATGGATGGATGGATGGAGAGTTAGAATGATAAGAGATCATGAGAAATGGGTGCATAGAAACAGTGCAGCCTACTGCTCTTAAATATTTAAGGAAGTGGAGAATTGTTCAACATTTGTCTGGGTAAAAAATCCAGTGGTGTCACAAATGGCACATGATTTGAAGAACTTATTGATTCCACCTAATTTCCAACTAAACGACCAGGTACATACTAAGAAATTACATGGTAAAATGGTAATGGGTATGAGTTACTTTCTTTCTTTGAGATTCATTCAAACTATGCTACAAAAAATGTTGTACTGTACATTATAACACAAGACAAACAACATCTGAAACATTACAGAATGTAACAGATGATCATGTTCTTACAGGGAAGCGTCGGCCCAGTAGAGCATCCTCTCCTCGTAGTCTATGGAAAGGCCGTTGGGCTGGGACAGACTGGTGTTGATGATGGGCACCCGGAAGTTTCCACCCAGAGTAGCTCTCTCTATCTTAGCAGGGATCCCCCAGTCAGTCCAGTATAGGTAGCTACAGAGAGAGAGGAAGGGAGAAACGTTATTCTAGCATCTTAGCTTAGCCAAGGTCCCTATGAAAGGGCGAGCACGCCCCCATCCCCATCGATGGTGCTGTAGTGGATTGGGTCGAGAGCATCAAGTTCCTCGGTGTCCACATCACTAAGGAATAAAAGATTTGGCATGGGCCCTCAGATCCTCAAAAAGTTACACAGCTGCACCACTGAGAGCATCTTGACTGGCTACATCACCACTTCATATGGCAACTGCAAGGCACCCGACCGCAAGGCACTACAGAGGGTGATGAGTAATGCCCAGTACATCACTGGAGCCGACCTCCCATCCAGGACATCTATACCAGGCAGTATCAGAGGAAGGCCCCCAAAAAACTCCAGCCACCCAAGCCATCGACTGTTCTCTCTGCTACCGCACGGCAAGCGGTACCAGTATACCAAGTCTGGAACCAACAGGACCCTGATCAGCTTCTACCCCAAAGCCATAAGACTGCTAGACAAGACTAAATAGCTAATCAAATGGCTACCCGGACTACCTGCACTTTTTGCACTGACTATGCACACACATTGGACTCTAGCCACACAGACTTACACTGACACCCCAACACACACATACAGTGCATTCGGAAAGTATTCAGACCCCTTCCCTTTTTCCACTTTTGTTACATTACAGCCTTATTCTAAAATGGATTAAATAATTCCCCCCCCTCAGCAATCTACACACAATGCCCCATAATGACAAAGCAAAAACTGGTTTTTAGACATTTTTGCAAATGTATTAAAAATAAAAAACAGAAATACCTTATTTACATAAGTATTCAGGACCTTTGCTATGAGACTCGAAATTGAGCTCAGGTGCAACCTGTTTCCATTGATCATCCTTGAGGTGTTTCTACAACTTGATTGGAGTCTACCTGTGATAAACTCAATTGATTGCACATAATTTGGAAAGGCACACACCTGTCTATATAAGGTCCCACAGTTGACAGTGCATGTCAGAGCAAAAACCAAGCCTTGAGGTCGAAGGAAGTGTCAATAGATCTCCGAGACAGGATTGTGTCGAGGCACAGATCTGGGGAAGGGTAGCAAAACATTTCTGCAACATTGAAGGTCCCCAAGAACACAGTGGCCTCCAGCTCTTCCTAGAGCTGGCCGTCCGGCCAAACTGAGCAATTGGGGGAGAAGGCCCTTGGTCAGGGAGGTGACCAAGAACCCAATGGTCACTCTGACAGAGCTCCAGAGTTCCTCTGTGGAGATGGGAGAACCTTCCAGAAGGACAACCATCTCTGCAGCACACCACCAATCAGGCCTTTATGGTAGAGTGGCGAGACAGAAGCCACTCCTCAGTAAATGGCACGAAAGCCCGCTTGGAGTTTGTCAAAAGGCACCTAAGGGACTCTCAGACCATGAGAAACAAGATTATCTGGTCTGATGAAACCAAGATTGAACTCTTTGGCCTGAATGCCAAGCGTCACGTCTGGAGGAATCCTGGCACCATCCCTACGGTAAAGCATGGTGGTGGCAGCATCATGCTGTGGGGATGTTTTTCAGTGGCAGGGACTGGGAGACTAGTCAGGATCGAGGGAAAGATGAATGGAGCAAAGTAAAGAGAGATCCTTGATGAAAACCTGCTCCAGAGCGCTCATGACCTCAGACGTGGGTGAAGGTTCACCATCCAATAGGACAACGACCCTAAGCACACAGCCAAGATGACGCAGGAGTGACCTGAAAATAGCTGTGCAACGATGCTCCCCATCCAACCTGACAGAGCTTGAGAGGATCTGCAGAGAAGAATGGGAGAAACTCCCCAAATACAGGTGTGCCAAGCTTGGAGTGTCATACCCAAGAAGACTTGAGGCTGTATACTGAGTAAAGGGTCTGAATACGTAAATGTAATATTTCAGTTATTTTTATAAAAACCTGTTTTTGCTTTGTCATTATGGGGTATTGTGTGTAGATTGATGAGGGAAATGTTTTATTTAATCCATTTTAGAATAAGGCTGTAACGTAAAAAGTCAAGGGGTCTGAATACTTTCCGAATGCACTGTACACACACACTACATACGACCACACACACATAGCATGCAATACTGACGCCACACACACACACACTTTCACACTCACCACATATGCTGCTGCTACTGTCTATTATCTATTGTGTTGCCTAGTCACATTACCCCTACCTGTATGTACAGTACATAGCTACCTCAATTACGTCTTACCCCTCCACATCGGTACTGGTACTCCCTGTATATAGCTATGATATTTTTAATCTTTATTGTTATTCACTGAGTATTTATTCCTTGTGTCACAATTTCAAATTTGTATTTTATTCTTTAGCTTTAACTCTGCATTGTTGAAAAAGGACCCATAAGTATGCATTTCACATTTAGTCTACACCTGTTGTTTACAAATAACATTTGATTTGATGGAGCTACAGTGCCTTGCAAAAGTATTCACCCCCTTGGCGTTTTTCCAATTTAAATTACAACTTGTCATTTAAATTGATTTTTATTTGGATTTCATGTAATGGACATACACAAAATAGTCCAAATTGGTGAAGTGAAATGAAAAAAATAACTTATTTCAAAACATTCAAAAAAATTGATAACGGAAAAGTGGTGCATGCAAATGTTTTCACCCCCTTTGCTATGAAGCCCCTAAATAAGATCTGGTGCAATCAATTACCTTCAAAAGTCACATAATTAGTTAAATAAAGTCCACCTGTGTGCAATCTAAGTGTCACATGATCTATCACATGATTTCAGTATATTTACACTTGTTCTGAAAGGCCCCAGAGTCTGCAACAACACTAAGCAAGGGGCACCATGAAGACCAAGGAGCTCTCCAAACAGGTCAGGGACAAAGTTGTGGAGAAGTACAGATCAGGGTTGGGTTATAAAAAAATATCAGAAACTTTGAACATCCCACAGAGCACCATTAAATCCATTATTAAAAAATGGAAAGAATATGGCACCACAACAAACCTGCCAAGAGAGGGCCGCCCACCAAAACTCACGGACCAGGCAAGGAGGGCATTAATCAGAGAGGCAACAAAGAGACCAAACATAACCCTGAAGGAGCTGCAAAGCTCCACAGCGGAGATTGGAGTATCTGTCCATAGGACCACTTTAAGCCGTACACTCCACAGAGCTGGGCTTTACGGAACAGTGGCCAGAAAAAAGCCATTGCTTAAAGAAAAAAAATAGCAAACACGTTTGGTGTTCGCCAAAAGGCATGTGGGAGACTCCCCAAACATATGGAAGAAGGTACTCTGGTCAGATGAGACTAAAATTGAGCTTTTTGACCATCAAGGAAAACGCTATGTCTGGCGCAAACCCAACACCTCTCATCACCCCGAGAACACCATCCCAACAGTGAAGCATGGTGGTGGCAGCATCATGCTGTGGGGATGTTTTTCATCGGCAGGGACTGGGAAACTGGTCAGAATTGAAGGAATGATGGATGGCGCTAAATACAGGGAAATTCTTGAGGGAAACCTGTTTCAGTCTTCCAGAGATATGAGACTGGGATGGAGGTTCACCTTCCAGCAGGACAATGACCCTAAGCATACTGCTAAAGCAACACTCGAGTGGTTTAAGGGGAAACATTTAAATGTCTTGGAATGGCCTAGACAAAGCCCAGACCTCAATCCAATTGATAATCTGTGGTATGACTTAAAGATTGTTGTACACCAGCGGAACCCATCCAACTTGAAGGAGCTGGAGCCGTTTTGCCTTGAAGAATGGGAAAAAATCCCAGTGGCTAGATGTGCTAAGCTTATAGAGACATACCCCAAGGGACTTGCAGCTGTAATTGCTGCAAAAGGTGGCTCTACAAAGTATTGACTTTGGGGGGGTGAATAGTTATGCATGCTCAAGTTTTCTGTTTTTTTGTCTTATTTCTTTGTTTCACAATAAAAAATGTTTTGCATCTTCAAAGTGGTAGGCATGTTGTGTAAATCAAATGATACAAACCCCCCAAAAATCATTTTTAATTCCAGGTTGTAAGGAAAAATAAGAAAAATGCCAAGGGGGGTGAATACTTTCGCAAGCCACTGTACATGGGATGGATTGACCAATCACCAAAGTTTGCCAGACAAGAAATATGCACCTGTCAATCCCAAATTAATTGGATGGATTGACATATTTAGCTTGAGCTACACAATAGATGGCATGAAATATGGGACAATTTTATTTTAGACCACTTTTGATCAATAAAAATGTCTGACAAAAAAGGCAAAAACATATAAATGAGAAAAGCTCAATTGCACCACAGAATGTGATATAATCTGGAATCAGATTAATCTGGAATCATAATTGATATTAGTGTTCCAGGACAATTGTTCCTATCTGGCTCAAATGACCAATTTGTGGAAGACCTGGATGGGATTTGTAAATTTAGCGATCAATGTATGCAAACATCTCAGTTGGTTTTACCCATAGCAGGGGTCCACGATGATGCCAAGAGGGCGGTTGGCATGGGCTATGAAGGAGCGGTTCTGCCCATCTACCCCCATGGCCTGGACACTTCTGTTGTAGTAGTCGGTGAAGTAGAGGCGCTTGTGGACCCAGTCATAGGCTAGCCCCTCTGGATCATTCAAATCTGAGAGAGAAGAGAGAGAGAGAGAAGAGATAGAGAGAGAGAGAGAGGAGAGAGATAGAGAGTCGAGAGAGAGAGAGAGAGAGAGAGAGAGAGAGAGAGAGAGAATTAGAGCGATATTAGTAGAGAGATAGAGAGTAGAGAGAGATAGAGAGCTCTCTCTATCTCGATAGCTTCTTTCTCGATATAGATATCTCTCTCTCTCTATAGAGATCGAGAGACGAGAGAGGAGAGAGAAGGAACATTTTTAAAAGAGAGAGGGGGGAGAAATAGAGAGAAAAGAGTCAGAGTGGAAAAAGATAAGGGTGAGGATGGAGACAACCAAAGTCACCAAGGTAACTAATACCGCAACTTAGAGATATTAACAGCTACACTCAATATTGTAACAAGACATTAAAGGCCCAATGCAGCCATTTTTGTATCAATATCAAATCATTTCTGGGTAACAATGAAGTACCTTACTGTACTAGATTTCCATTTCAATGGTCAAAAATATACAATAATAGATTTTTAGCAAAAAACTATTTCTCATGCCAGAATTTTGCTAAGACTGTCTGGAAGTAGTCTGAGTGGGAAGGGGGAAACTGAATGGTATCTGTTATTGGCAGAGAGCTTTGGAACTCTTTTTGTTATTGGTCTATTAAAGGAAAACTCCACCCCAAAAAAAATATTTTGGCATTTCTTTCATTATGCAAAATGCATCATATTTCTGTATTTTGAAAGTTATATATCTTGAAAACTTGATTGCTGACATGCAAAACATTTTTGGAATATATCAACAATAGACTAATGAAACAAATACCAAAATATAGTTTTTAACTAATTTACCACCTGGTGATGTCACCAGGCAAGCCAAAACTCCACCCACACAAAACCTGCTAGTTAGAAGGTACGCTGGATAAAAATATAAACGCAACATGTAAAGTGTTGGTCCCATGTTCATGAGCTGAAATAAAAGATCCCAAAAATGTTCCAAATGCACAAAAAGCTTATAAAAAAAAAAATATATATATCTATATATATATTTTTTAGTTTACATCCCTGTTAGTGAGCATTTCACCTTTGCCAAGGTAACCCATCCGCCTGACAGGTGTGGCATATCAAGAAGCTGATTAAACAGCATGATCATTACACAGGTGTACCTTGTGCTGGGGATAATAAAAGGCCACTCTAAAATGTGCAGTTTTGTCACACAACACAATGCCACAGATGTCAGATGTTTTGAGGGAGCGTGCAATTGGCATGCTGACTGCAGGAATGTCCACCAGATCTGTTGCCAGAGAATTTAATGTTAATTTCTCTCTGCCTCCATCGTCGTTTTAGAGAATTTGGCAGTACGTCTAACCGGCCTCACAACCACACACCAAGTGTAACCACGCCAGCCCAGGACCTCCACATCCGGCTTCTTCACCTGAAAGATTGTCTGAGACCAGCCACCCGGACAGCTGATGAAACTGTGGGTTTGCACAACGTCTCAGGGAAGAAGGATTACTTTATCCTATCCCAGGTATTCCTTAAAGAGGTGGGGTTTCAAATGTCTCCGGAAGGTGGTGAGTGACTCCGCTGTCCTGGCGTCGTGAGGGAGCTTGTTCCACCATTGGGGTGCCAGAGCAGCGAACAGTTTTGACTGGGCTGAGCGGGAACTATGCTTCCGCAGAGGTAAGGGAGCCAGCAGGCCAGAGGTGGATGAACGCAATGCCCTCGTTTGGGTGTAGGGACTGATCAGAGCCTGAAGGTAAGGAGGTGCCGTTCCCTTCACAGCTCCGTAGGCAAGCACCATGGTCTTGTAGCAGATGCGAGCTTCAACTGGAAGCCAGTGGAGTGTGCGGAGGAGCGGGGTGACGTGAGAGAACTTGGGAAGGTTGAACACCAGACGGGCTGCGGCATTCTGGATGAGTTGTAGGGGTTTAATGGCACAGGCAGGGAGCCCAGCCAACAGCGAGTTGCAGTAATCCAGACGGGAGATGACAAGTGCCTGGATTAGGACCTGTGCCGCTTCCTGTGTAAGGCAGGGTCGTACTCTCCGAATGTTGTAGAGCATGAACCTACAGGATCGGGTCACCGCCTTGATGTTAGCGGAGAATGACAGGGTGTTGTCCAGGGTCACGCCAAGGCTCTTCGCACTCTGGGAGGAGGACACAACGGAGTTGATTTCCATATATGAACTGTAAAATCTTTGAAATTGTTGCATGTCGTATATATTTTTTATGTTCAGTGTAGATTGTATTTTCAACCGGCAACTATCAGAAAATAACAATGATCACATTATTTCATACTTTTACAGTGTTAGGTTAATCAAAATAAGGAAAAACTGAATTTTGACTGCATTGGGCCTTCAAGGCCCCCTTTTTTATATTATGTTTAAATCATCACAGTATGTCTAATAAATCACTGTGGGTGTTTATTTCATAAAAATAACTCTAAATATATTTGTTATCATTTATTTCCCTGAGTCTCCTTTTGCCATTGAAATGCTCAGTCTGATCAATGAGGTTTGTGCAGTAGGCTATAGGCCGAATACATTATCACTGCATATTGGCTATGCTTGAATTGCCCTGCCAATGTTGTTGTTCTCAGACCATTTTGAAATTATATACACTGCTCAAAAAAATAAAGGGAACACTTAAACAACACAATGTAACTCCAAGTCAATCACACTTCTGTGAAATCAAACTGTCCACTTAGGAAGCAACACTGATTGACAATAAATGTCTCATGCTGTTGTGCAAATGGAATAGACAACAGGTGGAAATTATAGGCAATTAGCAAGACACCCCCAATAAAGGAGTGGTTCTGCAGGTGGTGACCACAGACCACTTCTCAGTTCCTATGCTTCCTGGCTGATGTTTTGGTCACTTTTGAATGCTGGCGGTGCTTTCACTCTAGTGGTAGCATGAGACGGAGTCTACAACCCACACAAGTGGCTCAGGTAGTGCAGCTCATCCAGGATAGCACATCAATGCGAGCTGTGGCAAGAAGGTTTGCTGTGTCTGTCAGCGTAGTGTCCAGAGCATGGAGGCGCTACCAGGAGACAGGCCAGTACATCAGGAGATGTGGAGGAGGCCGTAGGAGGGCAACAACCCAGCAGCAGGACCGCTACCTCCGCCTTTGTGCAAGGAGGGGCAGGAGGAGCACTGCCAGAGCCCTGCAAAATGACCTCCAGCAGGCCACAAATGTGCATGTGTCTGCTCAAACGGTCAGAAATAGACTCCATGAGGGTGGTATGAGGGCCCGACGTCCACAGGTGGGGGTTGTGCTTACAGCCCAACACCGTGCAGGACGTTTGGCATTTGCCAGAGAACACCAAGATTGGCAAATTCGCCACTGGCGCCCAGTGCTCTTCACAGATGAAAGCAGGTTCACACTGAGCACATGTGACAGACGTGACAGAGTCTGGAGACGTCGTGGAGAACGTTCTGCTGCCTGCAACATCCTCCAGCATGACCGGTTTGGCGGTGGGTCAGTCATGGTGTGGGGTGGCATTTCTTTGGGGGGCCGCACAGCCCTTCATGTGCTCGCCAGAGGTAGCCTGACTGCCATTAGGTACTGAGATGAGATCCTCAGACCCCTTGTGAGACCATATGCTGGTGCGGTTGGCCCTGGGTTCCTCCTAATGCAAGACAATGCTAGACCTCATGTGGCTGGAGTGTGTCAGCAGTTCCTGCAAGAGGAAGGCATTGATGCTATGGACTGGCCCGCCCGTTCCCCAGACCTGAATCCAATTGAGCACATCTGGGACATCATGTCTCGCTCCATCCACCAACGCCACGTTGCACCACAGACTGTCCAGAAGTTGGCGGATGCTTTAGTCCAGGTCTGGGAGGAGATCCCTCAGGAGACCCTCCGCCACCTCATCAGGAGCATGCCCAGGCGTTGTAGGGAGGTCATACAGGCACGTGGAGGCCACACACACTACTGAGCCTCATTTTGACTTGTTTTATGGACATTACATCAAAGTTGGAGCAGCCTGTAGTGTGGTTTTCCACTTTAATTTTGAGTGTGACTCCAAATCCAGACCTCCATGGGTTGATAAATTTGATTTCCATTGATAATTTTTGTGTGATTTTGTTGTCAGCACATTCAACTATGTAAAGAAAAAAGAATTTAATAAGATTATTTCATTCATTCAGATCTAGGATGTGTTATTTTAGTGTTCCCTTTATTTTTTTGAGCAGTGTATATTTTTGGTATATGATCACACTGGTAATAGACATTTTGTTGTATTACTTGTGAGGCACAGCTGAGTGAGCATAATAATCCGCTTTTTTTACTAGACTGATGGCCTGGATCGACAGTCTGAGGGGAGGGAACAGCGGTGAGGCTGCCTCTCTCTGACTCACCGTCCCTTCACTCTCCCTCCCTCCCTCCAATGAGAAAGGGGGACACAGTCTTCCAGCTGATGGCAAAAATCTAGTCGCACTGCATTATTTCTGCATAATGCACCAATTCATGTTGTCACTCCTATGCAGGGACGGCTTGTTCAATAGGGCGATATGGGCGACGCACTGCCAAACGGGAAAAGGAAGGGATTTTTTTTCTAATCAATTAATAAAAAAATAAAAAAAATAAAAATATATATTTTTTTTTTTTATAAATTTATAAAAAATTATATCACGGCAACAGCAGTTATCAGTGTTCACGTCTGATCTGACAGCCACTAAATGTCAAATCAGGCTAAAGTCGTGCTTCAAATGGCCCCGCCCGTTTTTTGGGCGATTTCAGTCAGGTTGAAAATCGCCCAGAAGTCTCTCATAGCCTGTCATGTAAAATCTATTTTTTTCACATTTCAAAGCTTTCAATACATTCTCTATGGGTGTCTGTGGGCTTGCACTTACGCGCTTTCGTCATACATAACGTAACCACGAATGAACGTAACTAAGAAAAGACCAGGTAGCAGCCTCAATCAATTCACTACTACTATCAAAATGGCTAGGCTTCAGTCCAACTCGATTGTGTCTTTGAAAGAAGTTCCTTTTTGTCGGCGAACAAATTAAGATAAATTGGCAACGAAACAATTAGGACCTCCCAGACCAAATTTAATAATTCAACAGGTTTCTACTAAAGGCGGAAAGTCCTACACCCGAGGATTTTCCAAAAATTGGTACGAACGAAAAAAGACATTGCCACTCAACTGGATGACGAGGGATACAGGCTAGCTGTCCGCCGCCACAACGATGAGGTTAGTGTTGATAATCACAAGTTTACTGGATGTGGATATGGTGTAATAAAGGCAGTTTATTCAGAGGTAAATATATCTGGAATCGCGTTCACGGACCCGTTCGTCAAACTCTTAGGGAGCAATAAATTAAGCCCCATTACTTACCATATCAGATAAGAGAAATTGCTGCAGCTACATATATTTTACATCCTGGCCCTACATAGTTCACTATTTGCATCACTTACCAAAATATTACATGTGGTCATATATGCTTGGAAAGTGGAGATGCCATAGAACGTCAAAAAAGTAAACATTGCTGGAGACACATTGTCGTTTTGGAGAAGACATCGCGTTTGCTAGCGAAGAGATTTGTTGTGGCAAATGAACTTGGGCTGGGAATTGCCAGGAACCTCACGATAAGATATATGCATCAGCATTGCGAGTCTCATGATTCTATACGTATTGCGATTCGATACTGTGATTTTATTGCGCACCATATGTCTGTTGCAGAGGGATCAGAAAGCCATGAGAACGAGTTTTGATCAGTCATGGAAATAAAAGTGCTGAAAACTAATTGGCTCCCAATGTGAAAAGATTGAGAACAAGCTATGAAGGAACAATAATGGTGTTTTGGTGCAGGTACAGCCAACTAGCGCTAAAATATTGCGATATTGTCAATACAGTATATCGTAAAGTATCACTATGTAACTCGATTTCTTTCACCCCAATCCCTCAAATTAACGGTAAATAACTGAATTGTTTGCCCCACATTTAGCTAAGATGATTAGCTAGCCAGCTAAAATGTTTTATTTAGTTAGCAGTCGCATCTACAATAGTTTACTGTCAATAACATGTCTCCAAAAATGACGTGGTGTCTCCAATTGTGTTGACATTTTACAATTGCAATGCGCATCCATGAGTATCCACTTTCTGTAGCTCAGCTGGTAGAGCATGGTGCTTGTAACGCCAAGGTAGTGGGTTCGATCCCCGGGACCACCCATACACAAAAATGTATGCACGCATGACTGTAAGTCGCTTTGGATAAAAGCATCTGCTAAATGGCATATTATTATTATTATTATTATTATCTGAAGGGAGCCCCGAAACATTGTGTGCAGACATTTTATGCAATAAATGAAGTAGGTTCAATCTAGTAGTTCTGATCTTCTGATTGGTCCTGATGAGTTGGGCGAGGTCACCTCCAGGCTACTGTCACTGTTGCATTGGCTCTGAGTCGGGTTCTCTGTCTTCAAATGTTCAGCCTAAGAGAGGGGATTTTTGTGTGTGTGTGTGTGTGTGTTTAACAGTGATGATGTGTGTGTGTGTGTGTGTGTGTTTAACAGTGATGATGTGTGTGTGTGTGTGTTTGTGTGTGTGTGTGTCCTCAGAGCAAGAACTCGTGAGTTGGAAGAACTGAGAGGCCTATGGCGTGGGTGTTGTCCTTGGCCACCTGCTGACAAGGCTGACAAGATAGGACCCTTTTGTCCATTGTTATTGGATAGGAACAGAACTTATAACCAGCTCCTGACCTAAATAGATCTTAGCACAACATTTTACTCAACATATCATATTCCATATTCACTATAACAAATATATTTACTACGACATTAGCAAGAACCGCCACATCCTCAGCCGGCTAATCCAGTGTGTGAAGTTTTGCGGAGTGTTTGAGTTAGCTTTGCGAGGCAAAGATGAAACTGAGGGCTCCACCAACCCTGGTAAGCCAACACTTTTGAGATCAGTCAATAAATGCTTCTGGTATTGACTTATATGCTGCCCCTGTCTTCATGTTGTTGCTGGACATATCTTTTTTTTAAATGTGTGTAGGTCACCTAAATCATCAGAAAAATTGCCCCTCCTGAGAATTTTTTCAGGAGCCGCCACTGCTCCTATGCCCAGAGAAAGTGAAATATTCCTCGATATTAAAAAAGACCCAAGCCACTAATAATAACAATGCAAGCTTATCGGAACACTTTACTATACTCATTCATTGCAGCTGCAGTGCTGGTTGTAGCGTAAATGGAAGTAGGGAGAATGCGCATTTTATGGCTTATAAAATATTGAGCAAAGTGTTGACAGTGCTGAATAACAACATAAACATTAACTTATTCATAAAAACAGCAACTTACTGTCGGCTATGATGACAGGTGCACCGGTAACCGTGGTGATGACATAGCCTATCCTGCTTCGGCCTATCCCCATGTACTGAGTAAAAAATATCCTCTTGTCTGCAAAGTCGAAATCCAGCGCCACCACATTATAGCCCAAGTTGATAGTAGGGTAGGGGCTAGTGTGATCGGAGGGGTCTAAACGTAAACTATTCATGGTGTAGTCGGTGGTGAAAACCAGGAACTCGTCCAGACCGTAGCCGCACGACACGCCGTTGTTGAGGAGCGAACCGTGGGCACAGGCGCAAGTGGGTTTCTCCTGCTCGGGCAGGGCGAAGCAGAGCTGCTGGCAGCGCCCATTGTCCTCCTGGCACGGGTTGAAGCCCACCAGGTTGGCAGCGGTGGGCTGCACGTGGGAGTTGAAGACCACCACGTCCGTGAGTCCGTCAATGCCGTCGCGGATCACCTGGTGATGACAGTGATGTTGTTAGTTCAGTCTTTGAATGTGAAAGACACTATTTTGTGCTTTGTGATTTTGTGCTACTTTTGTGCAGCTTGTTGTATCGACATCTAGGAGTTGTATGTTGTAGGTTTACCCGTTGTATACATTGTTGCGTACATTGATTATAATGTTTTTGTTATGTTACTTTGATAAGACATTTTTCTAAAAAGTGAAAGAGACACTAGGCAAAATAAAGCTATTTCATATAATCACCTCTGGCTGGGTCGTATTCGCCGGATCCTTGCTGGCCTGGAAAAGCTTCCCGAGCTTTCTATCCACCCACAACATAGAATTCCCAAATATCGACAATCCGTACGGAGCCGGGTATCGACTCCCATAACGGACAATCTCCCTCTGCGTCCCATCGGGCGCCATGCGCGAAATCATATCCAGCACGTCGTCGGTCCAGTACAGGAAATCATTGGTGTAGTCGACGGTGAGGCCGCGTGGCGATGCCAGGCTCTCGGAGGCTAACAAGGTACGGTTGGCACCATCTAGCTGGGCACGTTCTAGAATAGAAAATAATACATTTGTTACACACACATTGAAAGGCACAGGTTTAGGATGCAGCACCACTGGATGGAAAGCTATTTTGGGGGTTAAGGGCCTTGCTCAAGGGAACAACGGTAGTGGTAGTAATGACACCAGCAGCCCTCCAGTAGGCAGTTCAGTTCCCACTTTTCCTTTCATTTTATATATTGTTAGGTGTTTTCTGACTTTACTGAACAGATAGAGAGAGAGGGTGAGTGGGGAAAGATAGAGAGGTTGTGTCAAAGGGCAATAGGCTGGATTCGAAACCTATGCCGACCCTTTAGAAGTGTGCCGGTTACTGGTCAACCTCTATAACCTCTGGACTACTTACCAATTTTGGGGTTCTGGCCTCCGTCAGCCCAAAAGAGAAAACGGAGCTTGGGGCTGACGGCAAGGTCACTGGGCCGGTCCTCAATGGACTTGAGTAGGACCGTGCGGTAGGGGGTTTCGAGGCGGGTCACCTCCAAGTAGGTCTGGGCCTCGACAGCGTTAGTGAAGTAGAGGTTGCCTAAGGGGGAGGGGATGGGAGAAAGAAAGTTTAGGGAGTGAACAATATTGATATTGAGGGATACCTGGAGGTAATCGGACCTCTTTGAAATTAAAATAGATGGCCCTCCCACTGTGGAAAAATATTTTTACCTGGCCCTCCCTGAGCGTAAAAAAACTAAACATGTAACCCTCCCCCTCCAAAAATTATCATTAAAACAAAATAGCAGGGAATATTAAATCCCTTTTTAGTAGGCTATCAATGTTGCAGACGTGCTTTCTATCAAATCAACCCGTGGTTGAGAACCACTGCTGTATTCATACCATATTCATGTTATCCGCTAGAGGGCGGCATTTACCAATTTAAGCGTTAAGGGCCGTCAACACCAAGGACGATAAATATAATGATAAATTATACGTAACTATAAAACGTTGGCGAGCATCCACACTAGAGGAAAGTTTACGTTCTACAGTAGCCTACACCTGTCAATCAACTATCAACGCATCCTACTGCATGCTGTAGGCCTATTAATAAGGTGGTAACACAGACCATTCAGTGCTTCAAAGTGTGTTCATTGTTATGGTGACAACTGCAAATAATACTTCAATGTAGGTTACATGTAGCCTAATGAAAATGTTAATTAAACGTTGAAATTCAACAACAAACGCTGTTTAGCCTGCGCATCTTTTACATCATGTCATTGCTTGCCTCGTTGCTCAAGTGGTTTGAAAGTGATTTCCATTTTTCTAATGGATGTAAATTTGGATCTTCTTTTTCACTGTGCTCATCACTATCTGTCCTGTGCAACCATTTAATAGGCTACATCTGTGCAACAATGTTATCATCACTGCACTCTCTCTCCGCAACTTTCCCCAACAGTTCATTTGGCCAAGGCCTATTTTACATTCAGCAATAGCAAGAAAGCATTCTTCTCTCCACGGAAAGCCTATTAGGCCTAGTATACAAAATACAACAACAAAACAACTCCTCTAGCTTTTGTAGCCTATAGCTTTTCCTGGGATTTCACGAGAAGAGGAATAGCAGAGAGGCTTGCGTCCGTAGCCTATAGCCTATTGCGCATGGGAATAGCTGGAAGAGGGAGGCTAGAGTTCTAAAAACAAAAAGTGATGCAATCAGTCTCTCCTTTACTTTTAACCAAGAGAGACTGGCATGCATAGTATTGATATTAACCCTCTGATTACAGTGAAGAGCAAGACCGCTAAAACGTCCTGTTTTGAATGCTTCATGCCGAAATAACTGGATAAAATAAAATAACATTTTGTCACATGCACCGAATACAACTGGTGTAGACTTTAGCGAGAAATTCTGGCTTACGAGCCCTTCCCAACGATGCAGAGTAAAATAGTATCACGAGGAATAAAACACAATACACAAGAATGTAGCTATATACAGGGAGTACCATACAGTATAGGCCTGATTATGCAACCATTTGGATCAGTTATGGGTCTATTCTCAACAGATTACAAGGTCCTGAAAGGTACATTAGCAGGCTACTCACATGGTGTATTTTGATCACACCATTACGCAGTTTCTCTCTCTCTCCTTTCAAAATTCCCAGCCAGGGGTGTATTCATTACGGAAACTGTTTACTGTTTATAACCAAATGGAAGAAAACAGAGCAAAACGAGAGTTTCTATTTGCCAAATTCAGGTAGGTCCCTACCCGTTTCGTTCCGTTTGCTTCCGTTTAAGAAACGTTTTGCAACAGAACCGGCATAATGAATACGCCCCAGTTATTTGGGGTTGTACGTCAAAGTTACACATAGTCTAATTCAATTTGTAAATTCCAAAATGCTGACAAATACTAACATTTAATCGATTACAAATTACATGACCCTACCCTGGACTAAATAAAAAAATACGAAACTGTCCCCCATTTTCCTCCGGGTAACAATTGCGTAAATTCCGACCGGTCCCTTAATGGAACTGGTTGTTATCTTTTTGTAATGAAGTCATTTCAACCAGTTTTGCCTGCTGGGTGTGGTTTATAGATGAAGGTCAGTACCAGAACTATTTACAACTTGGAGTATGTCTCTCCACTCTTTACATCATGGATCCTAACCTGAGATCCAGTCCACAGCCATGCCTTGTATGCCTCCTCGGCCGATGCCTTGGTTGACGACGGGAGTGAAGCTTCCACCATCTGTCTGGGCCCTGAAGATCCCTCTGTAAGAGCTGGATGTGCTGTTGTCGATCCAGTAGATGTACCTAGAGGCGACGTGGAGATCCAACTTGTCCATCACAGAGTAGGAGTCTGCAATGGGTAAAGACATGTTAGCTTATCTAGATACTCAGTTACAGTATAAGTTAGTAACAAAGTTGGGTATAGATTAATTAATGAGGATTCATGACAAGATGTGTTTCAGACATCATCAGATAGATTATTATAGGTCATAATTAACAATTACCCAATTAATAAAGGTCATAGTTAGCATACGATTATGACATGTACATGTTATGTATGGTTAAAGTTAGGGTATATTTAGGTCTGGTTGATTTAAAGTTAGAGTTAGGGTTACGCACATCCAGCAACAGGCACCATGGCCTCCGAGTGGTCGGAGCTGTTGATGTGGAAGCCTCGGATAAGTCTGGGGGTGGAGACCACTGCGTAGGAGTCGTACTGCACGCAGCTGGTGCCATCCTGGGAAGGCACGAAGCCCGTGGTGCAGGCACATGTCTTCTGGCCCCCAGGCTTGGGCAGACACAGGTGGGGACAAGCCCCATTGTTGGTGCTGCAGCCGTTGGTGGTCCCGGCCGAGTCTGGGGAAGAAGAGAAAGGATGAGAAATTAACTTGAGGTATAATGCCTGTGTGGAACTCATTTTTTCACAAAAATCTCCCATTGACACCAACTTGAAAATTCAAGGACCTACAAATCTATTGACAATCTACTTGGTGGCAAATGTACCTAATATCGGATCAGTAAAATGTTCAGTTTCATACTCTACATAGCTCTCTGTTGAAAAACGATATATGTTTTAGCCTACGCAGGTGAAGACCAGCAGATTAGCTGTAGGTAGCCACACTCACTGTCTCGGGCATTGACTTTGAGGGCTCGCACTCCTGTCATCCCACTCCTCAGCACCACCATGTTGGCCCCAGTGCCCTTGTCCACCCTCTCGATGACCTCGTAGTCCAGGTCGGTGTAGTAGAGGTAGTTCTGGTGCACTGTGAGGCCCCAGGGGTGGGACAGCTGGCTCACTATGGTCACCCTGCTGACCCCGTCCATTGTACCACACTCAATCTGTTCACAGGGAAAGGGACAGTACAGGGAGTCAGGGACATTAGAGATACTGTATGCTTCAGTTGCAGCACTATTCAATTCAATTCAGCATAACCTTATTTGTCCCCTTAGGTAATAACTACTAGGGCTAGTGATGTTTCAGACACATACAACACATCAGAATATGATATGCAATAAAGTTGTGAGCACTAAATGAGAAAAGAATATGACAGTGGTTGTGTGTGTGTGTGTTCGTGCATGTATGTCTGTCCGTCCGTCCGTCTGTGTAGTCCTTTGTAGCTCAGTTGGTAGAACAGGGTAGTGGGTTCGATTCCCAGGACCACCCATAAGGAAAATGTATGCACACATAAGTCGCTTTAGCGTCTTCTAAATGGCATATATTCTCATCAAGTTTGCAGACGACACAACAGTAGTAGGCCTTATTACCAACAATGACGCGACAGCCTATGGCAGCCTACAGGGAGGAGTGGTGCCAGGAAAATAATCTCTCCCTCAACGTCATCAAAACGAAGGAGCTGATCGTGGACTTCAGGAAACAGCAGAGGGAGCACGCCCCTATCCACATCGACGGGACCACAGTGGAGAAGGTGGTAAGCTTCAAATTCCTCAGTGTACACATCACTGACAATGTGAAATGGTCCACCCACACAGACTTTTACAGATGCACAATTGAGAGCATCCTGTCGGGCTGTATCACCGCCTGGTATGGCAACCGCAGGGCTCTCAAGAGCGTGGTGCGGTCTGCCCAACGCATCACCAGGGGCATACTGCCTGCCCTCCAGGACAACTTCAGCACCCGATGTCACAGGAAGGCCAAAAAGATCATCAAGGACATCAACCACCCAAGCTACTGCCTGTTCACCCCTCTATCACCCAGAAGGCGAGGTCAGTACAGGTGCATCAAAGCTGGGACAGAGAGACTGAAAAACAGCTTCTATCTCAAGGCCATCAGACTGTTAAATAGCCATCATTAGCTGGCTACCACCCGGTTACTCAACCCTGCACCTTAGAGGCTGCTGCCCTATATACATAGACATGGAATCACTGGCCACTTTAATAATGGAACAGTAGTAACTTTAATAATGTTTACATACTGCTTTACTCATCTCATATATACAGTATATACTGTATTATATTCTACTGTATTTTAGTCAATGCCACTCCAACATTGCTCGTCCTAATATTTATATATTTCTTAATTCCATTCTTTTACTTTTAGATTTGTGTGTATTGTTGTGAATTGTTAGATACTACTGCACTGTTGGAGCTAGGAACACAAGCATTCCGCTACACCCGCAATAACATCTGCTAAATATGTGTATGTGACCAATAAAATGTGATTTGATTTAATATATTTGTTTCTGTGTAACTCGGTACCCACCACTCCGGTGCTGGCGACGCCCCAGTACAGCTTGCTCATAGCGATGTCTGCGGTGATGAACCCAATGTTCCCCAGGTTGATGGTGTAGAGGTTCCTCAGGTTGCCTCCATCCATGTCAGCACTGGCAACCTTAGGAGGTACGCCACTGTCTATCCCCCGGTCTGTCCAGAACAACTTACTATAAAGCAGGAATTCAGAAAGGTTAGCATAAATTAGTATTAGCATTAGTATTAATCCACTGATGATGACCTGGAAGGAAGCCTAACTAACAATTCAAAAAATGTCTGGTGTTGTTGTTGATTTTCCTTATAATGTTATGAAATGCTTGGTATAATGTTGGTATAAAATCACATTGATTATTTTACTTCCTAAATACATCAGTATCCAACAAACTGTACAGTATTATTACTTGACCATTAAACATACACTACATACGCAAGACGGCACATACACATACAGTACTACTTGTTTGTCAGTATTACATTTATTCAGTTGTATCCTTTGTAACTAGTAATACTGATACACAGACGAGTGTTTACCCTCTGGCTGGGTCCAGGGCTATTCCAATAGGCTCCCCTGCTCCCTCTGGCTTCCCTGTGTTTGTGATGAGGGTCTTCCTGTAGAGTTGGACTCCATCCACACGAATGACCTACAGTAGATGAGAAACGTATTATATCATGTTAAATGAATACATTATAACCATGTTACTACTAACGCAGTTAAAAGATACATTATGCAAAGAAATGAGATATAGTCACAATTAGCGTGAAACTACTCAGTTATCATCTCTATATTGGATCCAATAACACCTTAAGCCTAGTAATGATATTGTATGTCTACAAATGCAAGTAAGATATATTCAATACATCATTTACAATGAGGACATGATACGTTACCTCTATTGCTTTATTCGTTGGATTAGTGTAGTACATCATGCGAGTTATCCAATCAAAAGCCAGACCAGAGGGCGAGCCAATGATTGCAGATGGAGCAAACAGAGTCCTATTGGTTCCATCCGTTTTCACCCTGTAAATGGAGCTCTGAGAGGGAGAGACAGCAAACAATTCACTTATATTAGACCTGAATCCAGACTTGAAATAAGTGAGTTTTGGGGTGTTGGGTTCTAACTTGAAATATTGAAATATCCTTATTCATGTTTCCATATTAGAACTGGGTGTATGGAAATCTACTGAGTGAGAAAGGGGAGTGCAGAAAGTTTACATTCTGTCAGAACATGTTATTGTCAAATCTCATGTATCCTATGGAGAGAGGCAAAGAGTAAAAGTCAGGTTTCAGTCACTGATAAGGTTGTATAGCCGTGGATTAGGGAGGAGTGAGGAATGTGGGCCGAGGTCAGGTCAGATGAAGTGAGCAGGAACAGTCCTATGACATACACACAACGGAGGCAGGGACATGACTACACCCATGAGAGGAACCACTTAAGTTCCTGACTAGCAACAGAGATGTATTGGCTGTCTAGATGTGCAAGGACTTGACTCCACCCAGTAGAGGGTATAAATATATGTACTTGTGTAAACATGTCTTTGTCTTTTCAGCTGTTGGACCCAGTGGGTGAATAAACTTGGTTTGAGCTTTTTCTTAGTCTTAATTTCAACTTCCTCGGACTTCAATGTGTGAGTTAAGCAAGAGTCTAGTTAAGTGTGTGTATATTGAGGTAGGATTCTGCACTTACATCATTCAAAACGGTTAAGGTTACAAAATTCCAGTAACCGTCCCATTTTTTTTCTCTAGAAATCTGCTTATTCCTGCCTTATTACGGGAATCTTACAACCGGGATTTCTGGAAAACTGGGGAATTTTGCAAAACCTGAATTTTGCAACATTTAAAATGGTAGTGGTTTATTTACTGTGAGCAACTTGTCACTCACCGAGCCCTGCACCCAATAGACAAACTGCTCCTGGTCGTCAAAGTCGATGTCCCGCCCCTGGGTGATGCCAGACACGGGTACCATGGCGTTGTTGGAGGGGTCGGCCGGGTCCACAGGGATGCCGAAGATCACAGTCTCCCTCACCACCATCAGGAACGGAGTGTCATCTGAGGTAGAGACAGAGTAGGATAGAATGGGATGGGGTGGTGGAGTGGAATTGAATAGAATATGAAAGAGACAAGCAAAACAGAAAAGCCAAATCAACCAATGTTTTTTTCTGATTGGCATTTGCGATATCGCTATCTCCATTTATCATGTTATGACAAATACATAACACATTTGCCTTCATACAGAATAGTACAAATCAGAGTGGTATAGAATAAAATATAATTGATTAGGAATAGGATAGAAAAAATCCCTTGTACTGTACTAATTTATGACAGCAATAATTAATCAGGTCAAATCGATGTGCTAAGAGAGATGCTACAAGCCTATCGTTAGAGCTGCTGGTAGGGTACCTTTGATGCAGGTCCGCCCATCACTGTTGAGGTTCCAGCCAGACTGGCAGTGGCAGGTGTAGTACCTGGGCCTAAAGCCAGACAGTAGGCACAGCTGACTGCACAGGTGCTCCGCGCATGGGTTGATTGCTGCATAGTGGAAAACAATGGAACAATCATGAAATGCTTTATCCACTACTGAGCTACAGGGTCCCCTGTAGCTCAGTTGGTAGAACATGGCGCTTGCAACGCCAGGGTTGTGGGTTCATTTCCCACAGGGGGCCATTATGAAAATGTATGCACTCACTAACTGTAAGTCGCTCTGGATAAGAGCGTTTGCTAAATGACTTAAATGTAAATGTAAACTAGTGCTGAGCGATTAGTGCTTTTTGAGGTCAGTTCGGTTTCGGTTCGATTATTAAAAAATTATCACGGTTTTTCGATTTCGGTTTTGATTATACATGTTTTACATTATATGCACTATGCATTACATGTATGTGGGTTGACTGCTGTAACAACACAGAATAAAACAATTAATAAAAGTCCAATGATGGTGGTGGCTTCCCATTACTGCTTATTACTTATTAACCATCATTTATTGACATTACTTTACTTTAATAAAATATTTCAGTTGTTGTGTATATTACATTTGTTTTAGGCCTATTTGATTACTTTATTATTTAATTTCCAAGTCATCATCTCATCTCTATAGAGCTGCTGCCTATGCGGTCTGACAAAATCACTATTTTAGTAGTTCTTCAAAGTAAATAAGGCATACTTTTATGACTGCTGAATACCAACTATCAACCACTTATATCATGTATTTTCAGGTAGAGATACCTAACGAAGCTCTCTATCCCTCTCGATCGCACGTTCTTCTGTCACTTCTCTCCCTCTCAGACTGGACAAGTAGGCGCGCAATGGGTTATGGTTATAATTAATGATCATGTTTTCTGCAATAAACTATGTAGAATATTGGCCTGTTGGAAACTACAACTCCCTACTACATCGCACAGTTCAGGCTTGATCTGATTTATCTCTTGAGAAACTGCGCATTGCACTCACAAAAAAAAAGAACGAAATGGAATTCAAATAATTTAATAGACATCATTCAATAACAGGAATTTCTGTTAATTGTTCAGCACTATCCACTACAAACAAATAGTATGTTTGAATGTTTTATGGACGTATTTTGAATGTTACCCGCTGGTTGTTAGAATGTAATACAGAATTTGTTGGAACAGTACCTACTGGTTGTTTGAATGTTATCTGGAAGTTGTTTGAACGTTACCTGATGTTTTTAATTTTTTATACATACATACATATATACATATATACATACATACACATACACATACAGTGGGGAGAACAAGTATTTGATACACTGCCGATTTTGCAGGTTTTCCTACTTACAAAGCATGTAGAGGTCTGTAATTTTTTATCATAGGTACACTTCAACTGTGAGAGACGGAATCTAAAACAAAAATCCAGAAAATCACATTGTATGATTTTTAAGTAATTAATTTGCATTTTATTGCATATCATAAGTATTTGATACATCAGAATAGCAGAACCTAATATTTGGTACAGAAACCTTTGTTTGCAATTACAGAGACCATACGTTTCCTGTAGGTCTTGACCAGGTTTGCACACACTGCAGCAGGGATTTTGGCCCACTCCTCCATACAGACCTTCTCCAGATCCTTCAGGTTTCGGGGCTGTCGCTGGGCAATACAGACTTTCAGCTCCCTCCAAATATTTTCTATTGGGTTCAGGTCTGGAGACTGGCTAGGCCACTCCAGGACCTTGAGATGCCTCTTACGGAGCCACTCCTTAGTTGCCCTGGCTGTGTGTTTCGGGTCGTTGTCATGCTGGAAGACCCAGCCACGACCCATCTTCAATGCTCTTACTGAGGGAAGGAGGTTGTTTGCCAAGATCTCGCGATACATGGCCCCATCAATCCTCCCCTCAATACGGTGCAGTCATCCTGTCCCCTTTGCAGAAAAGCATCCCCAAAGAATGATGTTTCCACCTCTATGCTTCACGGTTGGGATGGTGTTCTTGGGGTTGTACTCATCCTTCTTCTTCCTCCAAACACGGCGAGTGGAGTTTAGACCAAAAAGCTATATTTTTGTCTCATCAGACCACATGACCTTCTCCCATTCCTCCTCTGGATCATCCAGATGGTCATTGGCAAACTTCAGACGGGCCTGGACATGCGCTGGCTTGAGCAGGGGGACCTTGCGTGTGCTGCAGGATTTTAATCCATGACGGCGTAGTATGTTACTAATGGTTTTCTTTGAGACTGTAGGGACAGCTCTCTTCAGGTCATTGACTAGGTCCTGCCGTGTAGTTCTGGGCTGATCCCTCACCTTCCTCATGATCATTGATGCCCCACGAGGTGAGATCTTGCATGGAGCCCCAGACCGAGGGTGATTGACCATCATCTTGAACTTCTTCCATTTTCTAATAATTGCGCCAACAGTTGTTGCCTTCTCACCAAGCTGCTTGCCTATTGTCCTGTAGCCCATCCCAGCCTTGTGCAGGTCCACAATTGTATCCCTGATGTCCTTACACAGCTCTCTGGTCTTGGCCATTGTGGAGAGGTTGGAGTCTGTTTGATTGAGTGTGTGGACAGGTGTCTTTTATACAGGTAACGAGTTCAAACAGGTGCAGTTAATACAGGTAATGAGTGTAGAATAGGAGGGCTTCTTAAAGAAAAACTAACAGGTCTGTGAGAGCCGGAATTCTTACTGGTTGGTAGGTGATCAAATACTTATGTCATGCAATAAAATGCAAATTAATTACTTAAAAATCATACAATGTGATTTTCTGGATTTTTGTTTTAGATTCCGTCTCTCACAGTTGAAGTGTACCTATGATAAAAATTACAGACCTCTACATGCTTTGTAAGTAGGAAAACCTGCAAAATCGGCAGTGTATCAAATACTTGTTCTCCCCACTGTACATATCCTTTCAAAAAATATATTTCCCTTTATTACTTTCCAACCCCACAACCCCTTCCCTAATTGGAGTAAACTAGTGAACAACAATGCTTAGGCCTCTACTTCCAGCTTATACATACTATATACATTTTATGGACACAGTCAATTTTACAATAATTATTTTTTGTTTGTTTTTACTCCTGAACTTCCTCTACCCTCAATCTCTCTGATCATTTTCATGATGATCATGATGTAGTGGACCATGATAGTTTGTTGGTGATGTGGACACCAAGGAACTTGAAGCTCTCAACCTGTTCCACTACAGCCCCGTCGATGAGAATGGGGGCGTGCTCAGTCCTCTTTTTTCTTCCTGTAGTCCACAATCATCTCCTTTGTCTTGGTCATGTTGAGGGAGAGGTTGTTATCCTGGCACCACACTGCAAGGTTTCTGACCTCCTCCCTATAGGCTGTCTCATCGTTGTCGGTGATCAGGCCTACCACTGTTGTGTCGTTGGCAAACTTAATGATGGTGTTGGAATCGTGCCTGGCCATGCAGTCATGTGTGAACAGGGAGTACAGGAGGGGACTGAGCACGCACCCCTGAGGGGCCCCCGTGTTGAGGATCAGTGTGGCAGATGTGTTGTTACCTACCCTTACCACCTGGGGGTGGCCCGTCAGGAAGTCCAGGATCCAGTTGCAGAGGGAGGTGTTTAGTCCCAGGATCCTTAGCTTAGTGATGAGCTTTGAGGGCACTATGGTGTTGAATGCTGAGCTGTAGTCAATGAATAGCATTCTCACGTAGGTGTTCCTCTTGTCCAGGTGGGAAAGGGCAGTGTGGAGTGCAATAGAGATTGCATCATCTGTGGATCTGTTGCGGCGGTATGCAAATTGGAGTGGGTCTAGGGTTTCTGGGATAATGGTGTTGATGTGAGCCATGACCAGCCTTTCAAAGCACTTCATGGCTACAAACGTCAGTGCTACGGGTCGGTAGTCATTTAGGCAGGTTATCTTAGTGTCCTTGGGCACGGGGACTATGGTGGTCTGCTTGAAACATGTTGGTATTACAGACTCAGTCAGGGACATGTTGAAAATGTCAGTGAAGACACTTGCCAGTTGGTCAGCACATCCTCGGAGTACACGCCCTGGTAATCCGTCTGGCCCTGCGGCCTTGTGAATGTTGACCTGCTTAAAAGTCTTACTCACATTGGCTACGGGGAGCGTGATCACATAGTCATCCGGAACAGCTGGTGCTCTCATGCATGCTTCAGTGTTGCTTGCCTCGAAGCGAGCATAGAAGTGGTTTAGCTTGTCTGGAAGTCTTGTGTCACTGGGCAGCTCGCGGCTGTGCTTCCCTTTGTAGTCTGTAATAGTTTTCAAGCCCTGCCACATCCGACGAGCGTCAGAGCCGGTGTAGTACGATTCAATCTTAGTCCTGTACTGGCTCTTTGCCTGTTTGATGGTTAGTCGGAGGGCATAGCGGGATTTCTTATAAGCGTCCGGGTTAGAGTCCCGCTCCTTGAAAGCGTCAGCTCTACCCTTTAGCTCAGTGCGGATGTTGCCTGTAATCCATGGCTTCTGGTTGGGGTATGTACGTACGGTCACTGTGGGGACGACGTCATCGATGCACTTATCGATGAAGCCAGTGACTGATGTGGTGTACTCCTCAATGCTATCTGAAGAATCCCGGAACATGTTCTAGTCTGTGCTAGCAAAACAGTCCTGTAGCTTAGCATCTGCGTCATCTGACCACTTGTTTATTAACCAAGTCACTGGTGCTTCCTGCTTTAGTTTTTGCTTATAAGCAGGAATCAGGAGGATAGAGTTATGGTCAGATTTTCCAAATGGAGGGCGAGGGAGAGCTTTGTACGTGTCTCTGTGTGTGGAGTAAAGGTGGTCTAGAGTTTTTTTCTCCTCTGGTTGAACATTTAACATGCTGGTAGAAATGAGGTAGAACTGATTTAAGTTTCCCTGCATTAAAGTCCCCGGCAACTAGGAGCGCTGCCTCTGGATGAGCATTTTCCTGTTCGCTTATGGCCTTATACAGCTCATTCAGTGCAATCTTTAATGCCAACATTGGTTTGTGGTGGTAAATAGACAGCTATGAAAAATATAGATGAAAACTCTCTTGGTAAACAGTGTGGCCTACAGCTTATCATAAGATACTCTACCTCAGGCGAGCAAAATCTTAAGACTTCCTTAGTATTTGATTTTGTGCACCAGCTGTTGTTTACAAATATACACAGACCGCCACCCCGTCTTACCGGAGTCAGCCGTTATATCCTGCCGATGTAGCATATAGCCCGCTAGCTGTATGTTGTCCATGTTGTCGTTCAGCCACGACTCGGTGAAACATAATATATTACAGTTTTTAATGTCCCGTTGGTAGGATAACCATAATCTTAGGTCATCTAATTTATTTTCAAATGATTGAACATTGGCTAATAGGATTGATGGAAGAGGCAGTTTACTCGCTCGCCGTCGCACCCCGACCAACGTCCACGATATCTCTGTCTCTTTCTCATGTGAATGACAGGGATTTGGGCCTTGTCGGGTGTCTGTAGGATATCATTCGTGTCCGACTTGTTGAAGAAAAAATCTTTGTCCAATACGAGGTGAGTAATCGCTGTCCTGATTTCCAGAAGCTCTTTTTGGTTATAAGAGACGATGGCAGAAACATTATGTACAGAATACATTTCAAATAACGCAGAAAAACACACATAATAGTACAATTGGTTAGAGGGCTGTAAAACGGCAGTCATCTTCTCCGGCGCCATTCTATATAATGATCTAATGATTCTGTCTCTTCGCAGCAAAATCTGCAGAGCTGGGAAGATTGTATTCCCCATATAAATAACATTCTATTGGTAGCAAGAATTTTATATAATAATTTAAATAGAAAAATTCTAAGTTTTGAATCTGGCGTTGTTTTGCATATCAGTTCATAAACACTATGCCATGGGATCGGTGCGTGAAAAATCTCTTCCCAACTATTTTGCAATCTATATGGGACGGCTGTCAATCCTTTGGTCCTTAAATGAAACTGGTGTACTTTTTTATTTATCACAGTTTTCTTTAAATAATTATGTTCTTTAATGAAAGGCCGACAGACAAGTTACTTACTATTTCCCCCTTCCACTTTCCTCTTCCATTTTTGTGGTAATGCTGCAATTATTTGTTTGTAATTTTGGGTAAAGCAGACATTTCCATATGTTTTTGTTAGCTGCATGTGCGACATAACTCCACCAGTCCTACCCATGATATCATTTACAAAGATTATACATTTTTTAAACATTTTGTCAAAAAAAAAGTTTTTTTATCAATTTGTATATTCGAGTTTAACCACAATATTTGTTGCATTATTTGTTCTGTTGTTTCTGGAGGATTAAATTGAAATTGTAACCAACTTTCTATGGCTTGTTTTAGAAATAGTGATATTTGGGAGATTATTTCCTTTTCAAATAACTGAAAGTGAGAGGTTGTAATCTGAATAAAGGGAAAAAGGCCATTCTTGAACATTGGGTGAGACAATCTTACTAATTTGCTAGAGAACCAGTTCGGATTTAAGTATAACTTTTGTATGACTGAAGCTTTTAGTGATAGGTCTAATGCTTTAATATTTAATAATTTCTGTCCTCCGAATTCATATTCATTATATAAATAGGCCCGTTTAATTCTGGCTTGCCGTTCCAAATAAAATGGAATATTATTTTCTCATATAATTTAAAAAACTGTTCGCTAGGCGTAGGCAAGACCATAAGCAAATAGGTCAACTGGGATAATACTAAAGAGTTAATCAGGGTGATTTTTCCACAAATTTACAGGTATTTACCTTTCCATGGTAGCAAAGATCTTATCTATTTTTGCTAACTTTCTATTAAAATGTATTGGAGTGAGATCATTTATTTCATTTGGGATATGTATTCCGAGTATATCCACATCACCATCAGACCATTTTATTGGTAAACTACATGGTAATGTAACATTTTTATTTTTTACTGATCCAATACGTAATATAGTACATTTATCATAATTTGGTTGTAATCCAGAGAGGTTAGAAAATGTATCTAGATCCTTTATGAGGCTGTGGAGGGATTCAAGTTGTGGATTTAAAAGAAAACATGAATCATCAGCGTACAATGACACCTTCGTTTTTAAGCCCTGGATTTCTAATCCCTTGATATTATTGTTGGATCTGATTTTATTAGCTAACATCTCGATGGCCATAATAAATAGATATGCCGATAGTGGACAACCTTGTTTCACTCCTCTTGACAATTTAAAACTTTCTGAGAAATAGACATTATTTACTATTTTACACCTAGGGTTACTATACATGATTTTAACCCATTTTATAAGAGATTCTCCAAAATTGAAATGTTCCAGGCATTTATATATAAACCCCAGTCGTACTTTATCAAATGCCTTTTCGAAGTCTGCTATGAATAGCAGGCCTGGTTTCCCAGATTTTTCATAGTGTTCTATTGTTTCCAGTACTTGCCTTATATTATCTCCAATGTATCTTCCATGTAAAAAACCTGTCTGATTAGAATGAATAATGTCCGACAATACCTTTTTAATTCTATGCGCTATACATTTTGCTAGAATCTTTGCATCACAGCACTGAAGTGTAAGGGGCCTCCAATTTTTACCTGAAGGTTGTTTGATGGGGTGGTCCATGACGATGCCCATGGGCTGGTAGACGTTGGTGATCATGGTGGTCGTGTTGCCCCCATGGAACTTGTTGGTCCTCAGGACCTGGTAAGTATAGCGCTCCGACCAGTAGATGTGGTCCTCGAAGATGGTCATACCGTGGGGGTGTTGAAGAACCTACAGAGAGGTGGAGAAACTGTTATGAAGGGATTTCAAAAGGATGGGTGACACTTCACTTAAAGCCAACGTGTTCAATGCTTTATTACTTGTTATTGTATGAGCCTTTATAATGTCTTATTATACAACTTATAATGTATTTATATGGTGCAATCTTTCAACAGATTGAAAATGGCAGTTATTTAGCCACAAACATAACATGATACTAAGACATTATAAGGGGTCATAAATGCTTAAGTCTTACAATGCATCATAACAGCATTACAATGCATTACTGTCTGCATTAAGTGTTACCAATGAATGTGAAACTGTAGGAAGTAGTGACATGAGAACAATTGATTCATGAGCACCTACAATAAGAATAAGGAACTAGTGTAAAGTGTACATTTTAGGACAACCTCAGCCTGCTGGTTTTACCAATGCTCACCATATCACTGGCCATGACCTGGAAGCGGCCGTTGCCGTTGTAATCGCAGTAGTCGATGTACTTGAGGTAGGCGTCAGCAAAGTAGACCCGGCGCGTGGTGTAGTCCAGGGCCAGACCGTTGGGCCAGTAGAGCTTGGTGGTGACAATGGCCTGTCTCCCGGTGCCATCCATATAGGCCTTCTCTATCCTCGGGTTCTGACCCCAGTCTGACCAGAACATTATGTTGGTGCTGGGAAAGGTCAAATGTCAAATCAATTATTGTATTCTTTTACCTTTGCAATGCTGTGATTTTGCAGTGAATAAGGTAAATGTCGAGAACTCAACAGAGAGAAAAAGAATGCCCAATAATGATTAAAGAACAACATGTAAAGTAGAATGTATTGGTGCTAGATAATTTAGCAATTCTTTATTGAAGGGTTCCTAGAAAGGGACAGCATAACACATTCATAAGCAGTAATTAAGTCACTTAATTAATTAAGTAATTCATAATTTGAGCGTTTGTTGACAGGCATTTCATTAATTATTCTCTACTGCTCATGAATGTGTTATGTATGGTTAATGAATGTGCTATAAAATCCTTATGTAGGTACCTTTCAGTGTTACTGATCATTCAATCATTGCTGTGTTCCTATGGTTAGCAGTGAAAGGCCTTACTGGTTTCGGGGATCCAGAGCCAGTCCACGGGGGCTGGTGACGTTCTTGGTGAGGAGAACCTTCCTGAAGCGGCCGTCCAGAGTGGACACCTCGATGTTCTCCATTACTGAGTCGGTCCAGTAAAGGTTCCTCGCCACCCAGTCCACAGCTATGCTCTCCGGTACCATTAGACCAGTGGAGAACACCTAGAATCACAGAAGAACAAAGTGCGGTATATTAGAACAATATAGACCATAGTAGAGTTCAATTTCATGTACTTCAATTCTCGCCATTACAACGCACTGTATTTTGGAGTTTCAGCACGTCATATCGGACTTACTGTTATATTGTGTTAATATGGATGAAATATTAAGAAGCATAATAATGTATATTCTGATGTATATTAAATAACTATATTTGTTATAAAAACTGGACGAAGGCTTTTTCTTGGAGCATTAACCGAAAAATAACTATAATTCAGTGTGTTCCTAACGTATGTTCTCAGACCTCTCGTCTGTCCGTGCCGTTCTGAAAGGAGGTAAAGATCTTCTTCAGCGAGACGTCGGCCCAGTAGATTCTGCTGGTCAAGCGGTCAAAGTCTACGGTCACGATGTCGGAACCGCTGACCACAGGGCGGATGAGGGGCGGTTGGAGGTTGACTTTGCTGGAGATGATCTGACTGCGACTGGCAACTAGGAGCGTGGCTGCTGTGGGGTCTGCGGGTAAACAAATAAATAGTCAATACAATACAATTATTTCACGATAGTTTAGAGGGAGTTAGTATTTAGTTGAACAAAAATAGCATTTGCTACATGGCTAAAATGTTACCATAACAATATGTCTTACTTTGTATTCGCCAATAAAAATAATTGGGATTCGTTTTTTTTACTGTAATGTCAAAATAATCATTTCACTTTCACCTCAAAATGATAAAGGTAAATATATTCAAAATATGTCTTTTAAAGTGCAATTTCCCCCCCCCCCCCCAAAAAAAAATAGTAATGGACGAGCAGCTAAAATGTTAGGTTGCACCCTTACCGGTGGCTTTGCAGGAGCGATTATCGGGCTCTAGCAGGTAGCCGTCTGAGCAGGAGCAGCGGAAGGAGCCTCTCTCGTTGTAGCACTGCTGGCTACACCAGCCTGGGATGGAACACTCGTCGATGTCGTCACAGGTCTTAGAGTCGTTGAGGAGCTGGTAGCCTGGTTGACAGGTACACTCTGCTCCGAAAGGACCCTGGATACAGCCGTCACTGCAGCCCCCGTTGTTCAATGCACAGTCTTCCTGGTCTATGGAGGAACAAACATGGAGGTATGTTTATTGTTCACCTGCTCAGGGACAGTTGATGTAAATGAGCTATTTAGCTAAATCTAGTACAATGCATCAAATTTCCCCTTGAGAGTTATGTTTTAATTACGGCATACAGTACCAGTCAAAAGTTCGGACACACCTACTCATTCAAGGGTTTTTCTTTATTTTTAAAATGTTTTCCATTGTAGAATAATAGTGAAGACATCAAAACTATGAAATTACACATATGGAATCATGTAGTAAACAAAAAAGTGTTAAACAAATCAAAATATATTTTATATTTGAGATTCTTCAAATAGCCACCCTTTGCCTTGATGACAGCTTTGCACACTCTTGGCATTCTCTCCACCAGCTTCACCTGGAATGCTTTTCCAACTGTCTTGAAGGAGTTCCCACATATGCTGAGCACTTGTTGGCTGCTTTTCCTTCACTCTGCCATCTGACTCATCCCAAACCATCTCAATTGGGTTGAGGTCGGGGATTGTGGAGGCCAGGTCAATTGATGCAGCACTCCATCACGCTCCTTCTTGGTAAAATAGCCCTTACACAGCCTGGAGGTGTGTTGGGTCATTGTCCTGTTGAAAAACAAATGATAGTCCCACTAAGCCCAAACCAGATTGGATGGCATATCGCTGCAGAATGCTGTGGTAGCCATGCTGGTTAAGTGTGCCTTGAATTCTAAATAAATTACAGACAGTGTCACCAGGAAAGCACCCCAACACCATAACACCTCCTCCTCCATGTTTTACGGTGGGAAATACACATGCAGAGATCATTCGTTCACCTACACCGCGTCTCACAAAGACACGGCGGTTGGAACCAAAAATCTCCAATTTGGACTCCAGACCAAAGGACACATTTCCACCGGTCTAATGTCCATTGCTCGTGTTTCTTGGCCCAAGCAGGTCTCTTCTTCTTATTGGTGTCCTTTAGTAGTGGTTTCTTTGCAGCAATTTGACCATGAAGCCCTGATTCACACAGTCCCCTCTGAACAGTTGATGTTGAGATGTGTCTGTGACTTGAACTCTGTGAAGCATTTATTTGGGCTGCAATTTCTGAGGCTGGTAACTTAACCTCTGCAGCAAAGGTAACTCTGGTTCTTCCATTCCTGTGGCGGTCCTCATGAGAGCCAGTTTCATCATAGCGCTTGATGGTTTTTGCGACTGCACTTGAAGAAACTTTCAAAGTTCTTGAAATTGTCTGTATAGACTGACCTTCATGTCTTAAAGTAGTGATGGACTATTGTTTCTCTTTGATTATTTAACCTGTTCTTGCCATAATATGGACTTGGTCTTTTACCAAATAGGGCTATCTTCTGTATACCACCCTTACCTTGTCACTACACAACTGACTGGCATTAAGAAGGAGAGAAATTCCACAAATTAACTTTTAAGAAGGCACACCTGTTAATTGAAATGCATTCCAGGTGACTACCTCATGAAGCTGGTTGAGAGAATGCCAAGAGTGTGCAAAGCTGTCATCAAGGCAGCTTTGAAGAATCTCAAATATAAAATATATTTTGATTTGTTTAACACTTTTATGGTTACTACTTGATTCCATATGTGTTATTTCATAGTTTTGATGTCTTCACTATTATTCAACAATGTAGAACATAGTAAAAATAAAGAAAAACCCTTGAATGAGTAGGTGTGTCCAAACTTTTGACTGGTAGTGTATGTGTCTGTTAAATAAACGTAATATTTAAACAAATTAAATGTTAGGGATACACTACATGATCAAAAGTATCTGGACTCCTGCTCGTCGAACATTTCATTCCAAAATCTTGGGCATTAATATGGAGTTGGTCCCCCCTTTGCTGCTATAACAGCCTCCATACTTCTGGGAAGGCTTTCCACTAGATGTTGGAACATTGCTGCGGGGACTTGCTTCCATTCAGCCACAAGAGCATTAGTGAGGTCGGGCACTTATGTTGGGCGATTAGGCCTGGTGTTCCAATTCATACCAAATGTGTTCGATGGGGTTGAGGTCAGGGCTCTATGCAGGCCAGTCAAGTTATTCCACACAGATCTCGACAAACCATTTCTGTATGGATGTCACGGATTCTGCCGAGACTGCCCTTCCTTCTGGTTCGGGCAGGCTTCGGCGTTCGTCGTCACCGGAATACTAGCTGCTGCCGATCTATGTTTTATGTTTCTATGTTCATCTGGTTGTTGTCTAGTGTTGCACACCTGTTTCCCATTATGGTATTATGTCCTACCCTATTTAACCTGTTCACTCCCACTGTGTGTTGTGCGTGTTTGTTACTTGTTTCGAGTGTCGTTTGTGATTGGGTTTGCTCCTCCCTGTGTTGGAGGTTTTGCTTGTTTCTTTACTATACAGTACAGTAGATTTTCATTTCATTCTGTGTCCTGCGCTTGACTCTGGCCTACCGCATTCCACAGACATTCATGACAGAAACACGCACCACTATGGAGTCAGCAGGAACAGCCGGATTATCCAAGACGATGGAGGAACGAGTCCAACGACAAGAGATGATGATTCAGACTCTCTGTGTCACCATAGAACAAGTGTTCCAGACGATGGAACGATGGGAGAGAGGTGGTATCCCGTCACCATCTCCAACCACTCAACCACCTACAACACTGGTCACCACTCCGCCACCTGGGTCCAGTGGGATTCGGCTCTCACTCCCGAGGGCATATGACGGTACACCTGCCGGGTGCCAGGGATTTCTCCTCCAGATAGAGCTCTACCTGGCCACCATTCACCCGGCGCCCTCGGGATACGAGAGCGTGTCCGCCCTCATCTCCTGTCAATCGGGGAAGGCGCTTGAATGGGCCAACGCTGAGTGGGGAGGAATAGACTCGAGAACTGTCCGCTACGAGGATTTCACCCACCGTTTCCGGGCGGTATTCGATCATCCACCAGAGGGGAGAGCGGCGGGTTAACGTCTGTTCCACCTACGACAGGAGATGAGGAGCGTGCAGGAGTTTGCGCTGGAGTTTAGAACTTTAGCAGCCAGCGCGGGATGGAATGAGAGGGCCCTGATCGACCATTATCATTGCAGCTTAAGGGGGAACGTCCGTCGGGAACTGGCCTTCAGGGACACCAATCTCAACCTGGACAAACTGGTGGACATGTCCATCAGGTTGGATAACCTGTTGGCAGCCCGCGGACGTTCTGATCGGGGGCCGTCCATTCCATCCCCCAGCACCTCCGAGCCTACCCCCATGGAGCTCGGAGGTGCTGCAGTTCGGGAGACGGGGAGAGGGACCGTCCCCTGCACCAACTGTGGCCGCAGAGGACACACTGCTGGCCGGTGCTGGGGAGGGTCCTCAGGAGGTCGAGGCAGCAGGCAGAGCACTGGTCGACCGTCTCAGGTGAGTAGGCACCCGACTCACCCAGAGCCCCTTGTTGCTAATCTGTGTATTGATATTGTTTTTCCAGAGTTTTCCTCCCATTCCCAGCATAAGGCGCTAGTAGAGTCAGGTGCGGCTGGGAATTTTATTGATCGCCAGTATGCTCGTAGTTTAGGGATCCCTACTGTGTCTGTTGATAAACCTTTCCCTGTGCATGCATTAGATAGTCGCCCGTTAGGGTCAGGCTTAATCAGGGAGGTCACCGCTCCACTTCTGATGAGGACGCAGGGGGGTCATGAGGAAAGGATTAGCCTCTATCTGATTGATTCTCCTGCGTATCCTGTGGTGTTGGGACTCCATTCCCCACGATTTCATGGCAACAGAGGGCTCTCAAGGGATGGTTCGGTCAGTGTTCAGGGAGGTGTGTAGGAGTTTCCTTGGGGGCAACTACGGTGGAAAGTCCAAACCAGGTTTCCACTATGCACATTCCTGCCGAGTATGCCGATTTGGCTATCGCCTTCAGTAAAAAGAGGGCAACTAATTTACCACCCCATCGTCCGGCGGATTGTGCGATAAATCTCCAGGTAGGAGCTGCACTTCCCCGGAGTCACGTGTATCCTTTGTCTCAGGAGGAGAGGGCGGCTATGGAAACATATGTCACCGAATCTCTGAGACAGGGATACATTCGGCCATCCACTTCACCTGTCTCCTCGAGTTTCTTTTTTGTGAAGAAGAAAGATGGTGGGTTACGCCCGTGCATTGATTACTGTGGCTTAAATCAGATTACCATCAAGTACAGCTATCCATTACCCCTGATAGCTAGTATGACGGAATCATTGCACGGGGCACGCTTCTTCACAAAATTGGATCTCAGGAGCGCGTACAACCTAGTGCGTATCTGGGAGGGAGATGAGTGGAAGACGGCATTTAGTACCACCTCTGGACATTATGAGTATCTTGTAATGCCATACAGGTTAATGAATGCTCCATCAGTTTTCCAATCATTTGTGGATGAGATTTTCAGGGACCTGCACGGACAAGGGGTAGTGGTGTATATTGATGACATCCTTATATACTCCACTACAAGGGCCGAGCATGTGTCCCTGGTGCGTAAAGTACTTGGAAGACTGTTGGAGCATGACCTGTATGCTAAGGCAGAGAAATGCCTGTTCTTTCAGGAGTCCATCTCCTTCCTAAGGTACCACATGTCCGCGTCTGGGGTGAGGATGGAGAGTGACCGCATTTCGGCCGTGCGTAATTGGCCGACTCCAACCACGGCGAAGGAGGTGCAGCGATTCGTGGGGTTTGCCAACGCCTACCGGAGGATTATCCGGGGCTTTGGTCAGGTAGTGGCTCCCATTACCTCGTTGCTGAAGGGGGGATCGGTGCGTCTGCGGTGGTCAGCTGAGTCGGACAGGGCTTTTAGTCACCTGAAGGACCTGTTTACCTCGGCTCCAGTGCTGGCTCATCTGGATCCCTCCTTGGCCTTCACGGTTGAGGTGGACGCGTCCGAGGCTGGGATAGGCGCTGTACTTTCTCAGCGCTCGGGCACGCCACCCAAGCTCCGCCCCTGTGCTTTCTTTTCGAAGAAGCTCAGCCCGGCGGAGCGCAACTATGATGTGGGGGACCGGGAGCTGTTGGCTGTGGTCAAAGCCC